AACGAATGGATTTCACTTTTTCCTTAGGATTACAAATATTCATACGGATAAAGTCTTCGAAATGACAACAAAATTCCAGAAAACTTTTAATCGGAGTTTTCCTTTTTTCTCTTTTTTTTGGAGGTGGGGTGCATTTTTGTAACGATTTTGAAATTTCCGGTGCATTTGAGATGAATTTTTTTGTTCTTTACTTAATTAAGGGAAGGTGTTTAGTGCTTCTCAGAATGTGGGAGACTCAATGAATTTGTAATATTGACCTATTTACACAGTCAACTTAATAACTGCCAATGGATGCCATATGCACTGCTAAAAGCAACAAACCTCCCATTATGTTTTAAATTTTTGATAACTTTCAAAACCGTTTTTGCATCTTAAACAGTTAACTAGAAAAAATTGTTTCTTCGGTTTTCTTTGTCTTTTTAACTTTAATTTTATTTTTCCTCGTACTATCCTTAGGTAGTCAATATATAGAAACGAGATTTTATATTATTATAATGTTCTACACTCTACGAACGCAAAACGATCAATTCATATTAACAAAAACTCTGAATGGGTATGAGATTCATTAACCATTCACGGAAAACATCGGGGTTGTTAAGATAGAAAAAGCAATACGTACATCTCGTATTTATGTTGCTTAGGCTCAAAAATCTCTCCTCACTGAGTAAAGATGATTCAGCCCTTTAGTTTTAACTTCGTCTTATTGTAGATGATCGCATTTTGGGGCGGAGTTCATTTTAGCTCGATTTCATAGAATCAGCCATGCGACTTTTCAAGGTAATAGAGATAGCCTGGTTTTTCTCTTAGTTAACTCCCTATTTAGAGACTTGGGAAAAATCATAATTCTCCACTAACCTCCTAACCTGAGATGACCCTCCATGACCTGGAAATACCAGTTTTTAAATCGCAAGTTCTCCCGTTAAAATCCTCCTTTTGGTAATCATGGCCTGACGTAAAATATCAACCCATATCAGCTCCGGGCAATCGTCCTGAATCAAAGATTCGCTTTTTACTCTCGCCATGCCCTTTAAAAATGCCTTTCCTGGTAACCATGAAAAAATGAGCGACATGTTCCATACATTTGTCCTTAATTTGGACTGTGGTGTTCGAACTTTTTTTGGCGACGAACGGATTTCGCCTTCTGCTCGTGCGGGTGGTTACGGAGGGAAGTAGGCAAAACATTATTAAAAATTTGTGAGTAATGGCTTTTTGTGAGCCTTTGCGAGTATAAAAAATTAACGCGTGCTGTCTAGTTTTTATGGCAGACAAACACACCTGTATAAATTGTGAATGAAATTCGACTCCAGTTCCTAACAGTTTTTTCAAACAAATAAAACTTGAAAGCAAACGAACACTAGGTCAAATTTTTTTGAAATGCCTGCTCAGATCATCAAACCGCATTGACAAATTTTGTCTTTGGTCTGGTTTTAGTGCATTTTGGTCATCTTTGATCTCTGTTTCGCGACGGGCTGTGTAATTGTGTACTCAAAGTGAAAAGTTTAGAATCATTTGCTCATAATAAATGATTAAAGGGCACCTGTTGTATAAGAAATTGTGAATAAATTTTGAAGGATACTATATGACAAGGGAGTGATCTCTGCTTAGTGAAACTAAACCCAATTTGACTTTTCTCTGCCCCCATTTAGAATAAGCCTCACAGGTGTATTAATGATTACTTCGATTTCGTGGCTTCCCATAGTCGGTTCATGTTGTTCTAATTCTTTCGCCGCAACGTATTATTGCTTATTAAATAATAATGATTTTCAATTCTTCGTTCTGCCGTGCTGAAGAATTATCTTCAATTTTAGAGATTTCAGGCCACTACACGAGCTTTTACGTTGTTGAAATCGCCCATCCACTTCTGGTCAAACTTCGTCTCAATCTTTCCTAATATCCCCAAGTTTTAACAGTGTAAAAATAAAATTTAATACAGATTCGTTGAATAGACATGCTTGTATATTTTTTTCATGTTTTCATTGTTTATCAACGAGACTGTAGCAAGATACGAATGAAGATTCATCGAAATATAATTACGCGCTTCCCGCTCGAGTTTCGCCGCTAAATAGATCTCTTAGTGTTAAAAAAAAATTCCCTTGTTCCTCATTGTTAAAAATAGATAAAAGTTTCCATGGGAAGATTACGCGATTTCCATTGCACAATTAGTTTGCAAGAAACTTTTCCCTGAGTTATTTTCGATTCGATTTTGGGCTTGTAAGCCGTAAAGCAACGTCTTCGGTCATCCCAAACATTGAAAAACCTAGATAAATTGAGCGTCAACGCCAAATATTCCGAAATTCTTCGTTTTCTTGCACAAAAATTGAAACTAGTTTGATCGAGACACATAAATTATCCATTTCTGCGTATTCTTCAATGTTTTAACCAAAAAAATGAGGCTTCATCTCATCATGGTTAAACATTTTTCATTCGTCATAATAAAATAATATAAAGTCGCGTACTGTGTGTTTAATATGCATCGTCGTGTCAACAACACAGCTCGCCTGGATAGAAAACTGAGGCATCTTTCTGTAATTTTTTTTTTTATACACAATAACATATAACTTGCTATATGCTTCTAACAAGGTCCATACACTAGATCTGTTACAACTGCATCCGTTCCAATCAAAAATAGTGCCAGATTTTTTTAAATTTTATTTCAGCAAATTTTATGCTACAAGTTCTGTCCTACAAACATGTCTGTGCAGTTTTGAAGACCCAATTCTCATAGACTTTCTGCGATTCATGAGGAAAGTTTTAATGGAGGTAATTTGTTTAAAACGATATTTGTTAAACCTTTGCGTCTGAATTCGTTTTTTGCCGTCTCACATTAAACCAAAAACGACTTTGAATACTTGTGTTCTTAATGCCATTTAGTCCAAATGATTTGAGTTTTTACCCATAGTGTGTAGTCAGGGAGCAAATGATCACGAGGAAAGATGGGCTTACCTAGACGATTACGTTCGGTCAAAGAAATTTTTTTATTCTATTTTTGGACTGGAATTACTTGGAGCCGTCTGCTTTCACGCAGATCCTTCTCTAGAAGTAAGTCAGACTAATTAAACGATGAAATGTTGGTCCGTGCTGCAGGATCGAAAAATACAGCAACGCTTATCAAGTTTTTCTTCCAGTCAATCCTGGTTTGAGTTTGAGCACGTTATATAGTAGACTACAAAAAGTAGCGGAAGTGAATCATACGCCTTTTGTGTACAACCGAACGAAACAGATAAAAATTTTTATTCCGCAAATAATGTGATTTTAGAATAGGTGTCTAAACGGGTTCTCAAAGCTCATAAATTAGTGAAAACTATGGCTCTTAAGGATTGCCTCACAAATGAAAATAGGTAAATAAGACCATTAGAAAATAATGGTTGAATTCCTTTCGTTTGTAACAGACTTATTTGTGAAGGTCAGAAATTAAGTGCTCTCCGCTCGGATAAAACAGCCGCCAAACGGTGAAAATTGAAGACAAATATTCATTGAAAGATAAAAAGCGCGCGAAATGGTGTGTGGATTGCTCGGTCCCAGGACCCCGATTGTTATCAGAAGGGTGCTGCCATGTTTTTGTAATCTGACGAAACGTGAGGGTGACCGCCCATTTATTCCTCTGTTTTAGACGAAATTACACATAAAATCGACTTTTGAGTGCTCTTCCGGTGATATGAAAGAATGTGGAATATTCTTAATTTTGGCCATCGTTAGTGCTAGAGGTCAAACGCTTCGTGCAATAGGAGATCTTTAACTCCGGCTCACTATAATATCACAATCAGCCAGATTCTTATAGAATTATCTGTTTTATGGCTTACATGAATCGCATTGTGTTATCTCCGCCAAATTCTGTTGAAGCAAGGTACGGACAGCATAAAAATTGGTTGACTCACATCTTTCAACTGTTTAATGATAGCTTGGTGTTCAAATCTTGAGTGAAAAATGATCAGTCACGTGAACTTTTGGGCAAGTAAGGGTCGATATCTTTTAAGTTTCAACATATTTCCGGTTGTTCCAAAAATAGGGAAATGAATACATCGTCATTAAAATTTTCTTTTAGTGTCTTTAAGCCTCATTCACAGAGCAGGAAATGTTCGTTCAGGGATAAATCCAAGAATTTTTGATGGGGCGTTGGGGCTGGGAAGAGTGAAAACTATGATTCAGGAAGCCTTTTTTCAAAGTTGGAGCTTAAAAAGAATCCAGAAATAATTCAAGACGACTTAACTTTAAATACTTCATATAGAGTAATAGAATTCGATCTTGTCGTAGTGAAATCTTGGTGTTGGACGAGAAGTAGGAAAAAGCCCCTCAATCAACTCTTAAGGACACCTCTACAAACTAGGGATCATCCACAGAAATGTTCGGAAGCTACTCGGGAGACTTTCGAACATCTTCAGATGTGACCGGGTTCATAACGATAGCACTCTCAGGATAAAAATGTCTATTGGTAGGTCAAAGTTTAAAGCAACAACACTGCTAAATCACTGGTCACAATCGAGTAGGGAGAAAACAGACCATAACAAAAAAATGAAATGAAAAAAGAGTAAAGATACGGAAATAAGTTGGAGAGGCCCTAAATTTTAAAGGCAGAAAAACTGGAAGAGCGGTACGAAAATGAACAGGTGCGTAAGGCATGCCACCTTCATACCATCTGAGGGAAGATAAAGGGTCGAACTCTTCATGAACATGTTGTAAAGAATCAATACGCTGAAATTCTTTCTTGTTTAATGACCTTCGTCAATAAAATTACAAAAATGCCTTTCTAGCCTTTGCTTTAAACATAAAGCATTCTTTATGCATGACCTAATTAACATTGTTATATCCGGACATTAACAGTTGTAAAAACCTTATCACAAAAAAGATTCAAATTTAAATCCTACAAGGGCTTTGGAGAGAAAATCAACATATTCTTTAATAGACAGGATGAAAAATAGACTTTAATTTTTTGGTTTTGCATCTGGTAAATGGTAATTCATGATTCTTCCCAACCTTTCAGCTGAATTTGAACTGTGATGAAGGTGCTCTGAGATAGACTTCAACACAGAATCACTTAAGGGTTAGCATAATTTAGCAGAAACTGTGAGAGAAGCATTCATTACATTAAACAAAAAGGAGCCCACTAAAAAGGCGGGGAAGAGAGAAGGGGAAGAGAATTGTAGCCTCTCCATTTAGTTACACTACTGTAGGAAAGTTCATTCTCAAATATGGTAGCCTTAAAGTTCATGGCTAACTAGTGTTGAGAAAATGGTGTTCCATCCAAACAATACCCATTGTTTGATCATCTCCTTACTCCTTATTTGCTTTCTGTGAGACAATTTGTCAACATGAGGAAAATATCTGTAATGATCCCTCCTATGAGAAAAGGGGTAACCCTTTACTTCCTAGAAGTCATCAACATGCAATTTTCCTGCAATTCCCAGATGTTACCTCACAAACAAGATATGAGAACAAACAAACTTGTCAGTCAAAAAGGTTATATCATGATATCACACCAAATTCTCCCATCTAGTTAACTAGAAAATATATGGATTTCAGTGGAGAGAATTACCCATTGTATCTTGGGCATTAAAAGCTCACACCAATGTAAACCAATTTGTCTATCATACCAGTAAAAGTTCATTGATACCCTGCAGCTCAGCTAAACAAATTAACGTTGCTAAGAACAAGTTTGTAACACTAATCATATGATAAGGTTTTCAAATTACTCTCAAAAATTTCAACAGTGACTTCAAGTACTAGCCAGAATCTGTAAATATATTTAGTACAAGTTACAAGAAAATTACCCCTCCTTAATTTGCTATCACCATAGAGTACCAGACCATTCTTGGAGGGGTTTCGTGATATTTTGATGTTAGTGAACTAAAGATCCGTTTTTTTTAATCTACAGGACATTACAGGGACTCTCTCCAAGTCGCTCCTGAGCCTCAGAAAGGCCAGAAATGAATGTGCTCTTCTAATGCCATAATTCTCAGCTACTATAAATTTGCTGTTGTGGCAAGGTCAAGGAAAATCTGAACAAAACTTCTAACAGTAACTATTGCAATCAATTACGCCGCTTCACAAACTCAAAATTTCTTAGAAATAAAATGCATATGGAAAGAGATTTTCACTGGATATTTTTGCTTAATCAAGTAAATCATTAAGAACAATAAACTACAAAACATAGCATATTCAAACAAAATTTGAACTCTGTAAATTTAAATCTGGCTTATTTTATAACAGCTTGATAACAATGCATATATGTCTGCTGATGTTTAATTTTGAAGGTTGTGTGGGCATGCAAGTGATTGTAATTGTCACAAAATCAACACAACAGCTAATTGACTTGTCTTTTAGACTGACACAGTTATCCTTCTTTTAAAGAAGTTGTCAGGTTTAACCTAACTATAATCTACTGAATACACATATTCACAAAATATTAATAACTTAATCTTTTAGTGTTCATAAATGAACTGGAATGGAGTACTTTGAGTCATTAATATAAATGTAGTGGAAAATAATAAAACACAACCAGTGTATTTGCATAAAAAATTATTGTGATTTGGATAAGAAAACCTTGTTCCCTGGGAGGTAACACTATATGAGTTTCAAATATCATTCAACTGTTACAAGTATTTGTTCAAAATGAAAAAGTGACCTTAGTTTTTGCAGAGGATTTTTTAAAACAATTATGGCAGTACTATTAGGAGCTCAATCATTTTGGTAGATTGATAAGTTGGATCAATGTTATTATCTTAGCTCCTGTCCACCCTTCCCCCCTCCCCTAACCCTACAACAGTCAACTGATAACAACTTAGAATCTTGATGTTAGGTTTGGGGAGGAGTAGGTGGTGCACAGTTGCTCTGATACTGACATTGATCTGATAAGTGTAAAAGATTTTTGTTGATGTTAGGTACAAACTAAGTAAGATGTTTGAAAAACATATTTTTTCTTTGATGAGTATGTCACCATAACATACTAAAACCATTGTAGACTAAGATAATAGAATTTACCACTAAGGATTCAGACAACTAGCAAAAATTTCCCCTTCACTTTCTGCTAATAAAACTACGTCATCAAGAGTCAAAATCTTTTGATTTTGCTACATGTCAACAAAATAATTTTGCATGAAACGAATCAGTTTGTTATGTTACCATAAAAAAAAACATATGATGAAAGAGGCTGTTATATTTCTCATCTTACACAAACACAATTCACTAAATCTTAAAAAAATTCTTTCAAATGAGTAAAATTTAAATAGTCCTTTTGCAACAGTTGGTTACTTTACAAATGGCAAACTGCCTGTTGGAGTGTAGAAAGATCATGTTTCATTTAGCCAGAATACATATCCAAAAACAAAATTCCACTTAAAGTCTCTGATCAGTTGAAAATGTGGCAATTTTCCTTCAATGAAATTTCCAATTACCACATGCTACAAAAAAATTCAGATCATTGTATTTAAACCAAAAACTAAGGTTATGTGATAAACTGTTGCAAAAAGCCTTTTCAATTAACCTCAGGCATACCCACAGTTCATGAAATAATGTTGTTCTTCTAAAGGTCCAAAATAGTCCAGAGAGAAATGTTTGAATTATTCGATTCTTCAGATTGTTTGTTAAAAAATTAAACACAAACAGAAGGAACTCTGTGAATTAATAAGGATAATCAACATATTCTGGTGAATGATTGTCGTTAACTCTCTAGCTGTTACTTTCTAAATTAATTTTTTTTCTCTCCCTCTTTACTTCATTTCAATACTGTACATGCTCATCTAAAAAAATACACATCATCTTTACAAATAAAAACCACTTGATCCTACTTTGCAGCACTATTAATGTATAACTTTTTTCAATAACTTAATAAGTAAATAATATATACAACATTAATAAAAGCATGATTTACAATAAATTAAAATTATGAAATAACTCCTCTCACCTGGTAAAAAAAACTCACATTGTGCTTTCACATGATATGAAAAAAGATTCTTAAAGAATGAAGTGGTGGTGCAATCAATTAATTTTTTTCTCCTCTTTATCCTCCTCTTCAGCATCTGGGAACTCATCTGAGTCAAGTCTTGGCTTCTTGGAAGTGGTTTCGTCTTCATTATCTACCTCAATTTCTGACTTTATTTTAGCTAGTGAAAAGGTACGGAAACAAGGGGACTCACCCTCAGTAAGTTCTGCATCTCTATTGAATGTTGGTGGGGGAGAGGAATTTTCCTGTGAAGCTGAGTTGCTGGGTGATTCCTCATCAGGTGCAGGAGTAAATAAATCAAAATCAAGTGATTTTGCATCAAGTGATTTTCTTTTTCCTCCCTCAGAGCTGGTTGGTGAACAAGATCCAAGATCTCGCAAAAGTTTACCAGGCTCCAGTGATTCTCTTTGCCTTGCTCTTCGCTCACTCATCATCATCAATCTTCGGCTTGCTGTGAACATATTGAGGTTTTCTTCTAATGCAGGCTTCTCCTGTCGCCTGCTGGAAGGGTCGCCAAGTAACAAAAGCTCACCTCTAGATGGAGGTCGATCAAGAGCTTCTCCTTCCACTGGCTCAAGAATGTTTAGTGAACTTGTGAGAGGCCCAGGAGGAATATCGAGGTCTTGACCATACAAGCTGACTTCAGAGCTACGTCTGGAGCTCAAACCTGATTCCCTTTCTTCTCCTCCGTATGAAGTAGTATTATCTAAGGAGAACCTTTCACTGCTAACTGGTGCTAGGATGGGGGAGTGACCATTGGAAGTGATATTTTCATTATCAATCTTTTTCTTTTGACTACTGTCAACAGGAGGACTTGCATCTTCAGGTGGACTGGGGTTCTCAACATCAATAACATCTGAGCTTTTACTACTTTTACTCTTCTCTGATGGATCTTGGTCATCTGCGAGACTTGTTATTGTACATGAAGATGGTACAGGGCTAGTTCTAAGATGTGCCCTTTTAAGTTTGGAGGAAGCTGGCCCTGAGGATGACTCCAGCTTGTTTGTTAAATCCTCTATATAGGTGTCACTCCTTCGAAGTGCCCTTCTAAGCTGTTGAACCTCGCGTTCATACTGACCCACCTTTGTCTGAAGACCAGCCATTGTGTAATGACTGTACCTTAAGTAGAAAGAACAACATACATTAATTTTTCTAAAAAAAAGCCCATGATCAAGCATGCATGGTGTCCATGACCCCCTCCCTCTATTTTTGTTTGTTTGTGTTTTTTGTTAGATGACCAAAATTCTGGAAGACATGCGGCCAGCCACAACCACTGTCCTTTCTCAAGGGAAGAAGAGATAGGACTTTGGGAATAAGGAGGGTTGAAAGTCAGTTGATGGTGAAAAATTATTCACAGAAATGGAGGTCAATAGTGGTGAATATTTACCAAGCCCTGAAGCAGCAAAGCAAATATCCACCACCTTTGCTGACACTGTGGTAAATTATTGTTTTAATGTAAACCACACAGAAACCAAAAAAATTACTTTATCATATTTCAATATACCAGAAAATGGTCTGGAACTAAATTGTTGACCCGTTATTTTGTCCCTTGAGCTGCTCAGAGATGAAAAGTACTAGCTCATTATGTCTGAACCAGCCAATCAGTTTGTGAAAAAAGCATTATTCACCTGCACAGTACATACTAATGAACATCATCTTATGACTGAGACAGTCCAGTTCAATAGGTCTAATCAACTAATTCAATTCCTTTATCACTGGTCCTGTCATGTCTGAAATTAAATACTGGTGGTATCCAACCAGGCATTCTCCAGAATAATATTGGGGACTAGTAAGGACTAATGTTTACTCTGACTATCAATTAAGATGGCCATCAATATGGAAGATCTCCCTCAGAGAAATAATTGTAAATGTACAGAATATATAACAGGAATTGCTGCATTTTCAGTTTGCACTAAAATAATTTCAACCTGAAAGCTGCTGTGAATTAGCAGATTGTTCTTATTAACCCTTCAAGAAAATAATCTTAAGGGTACAATCCCAATAACTCAAACCTTCAAGGGAAATTGAAAAAGGTCTGAGTTATCAGGAGTTCAAGCAAAGGACCAGAAATAAGGGAGAACTGTATTTACTGTATACTATGTTTAGACAGTATACATTTAACTATAGAGAATCTGAGTGAAAATGTAATACTAAACTACTACAGAGGTGGTTAGACATAGTTTGAGTTATTAAGGGTTAGAATATGTGGAGAATACACCTGAAGGGAAACAAAACTTACTTCCAGTTAGTGGGTGGTTTGAGTTATCTAGGGTAAAATTGTAGTAATATATATGACAGAAATCCAGGGAAAATCAGTTTTGGTTTGAGTTAGCAGGAAGTTGGAATTATTGAGGGTTCAAGTTACTGAGGGTAAAACCGCAGTAACTGTATGACAAAATTAAGGTGGAATAGGCTTTGGTTTGAGTTAGTGAGAGGTTTGAGTTAGCAAGGGTTCAAGTTATCAGAATTGGTCTTTACAAGTTATAGATGCCAATCTCTCTAGTACCAAGCAGTAGCAAATCACAAGTTGAAACTTCTGACTTTAAGAGAAGTTTTAAGTTATTTTGGGGGGTTCAACATACCAGACAATTTTCAATTTTGGCATTTGATATTAATTTCAACTGCAGCTAAGACTTGTTGTTAATTGACATAACTTTCATAATCTTAAACTAAAAGAAATTTTCTGTCTTTATAGAACTAATTATTGCTGAGACATTGAAAATTTAAATACCAAAGATTCTACATGTAAGAAAACTGTACCTATTGAGTTTGCCACAGCAAATGTGTCATTTGTCTAAATAAAATCAGGGTCTCAAAATAACTATCAAACACTTTGGTATTACCTTGCACAGAACACTTTTTGAGTATTTAGCATTAATCATAACCATTACAATTTCCTCAAATGTGATTGCTGCAGTAGCTGCTTTATTTTTCACTAATCATTCTGTAGGGTTGTAATCGGACACCTGTGATTGGACAGCAGAAGTAGCCAATCATACCTAGTCCTTTCAGTCAAATCCACCAATCACAGAATTGATCACAATAACCAAAGCAACAAACACTTATCCTAAGAGAGTTGTGGAATTTCCAAAGTTGAGGAATTTTTTTTACTTAGACTTTATCTCTTCTGCACATATTTGTCCTAAACGTATTTGTTGTTTCTGGAAATTGTAACAGTTATGATTAATTGGTAACTCAATTAAGCATCCTCCTTCCAATAAGCACTCCTCCTTTTTGCCAAACCATTAAATAAATGCTGTGGTGCTTATTTGAGGAAATACGGTAACCATATTCATTTGAAGTCTTAATTTCTAAGCAATTTTTGATGAGCAAATGATACTTTGTGCAATGGAGTAATTTACCTCTAGTCTTGTAATTATTCTCAGCGGGGCAGAATTTTAAGTCCTTTAATCTGATAACCTAAGGCTTATTGATTACCAATCTTGATTTCTGAGCTATTCTTGTCAAGCAAATGTTACTTGGTGAAATGGAAAAAATTATCTAATTTAAATATTCTTATTCCATGTCAAATTTTCCACATTGAAAGGAACACCTGTTCTATCTGCTAACCACAGCTGTTTAACCCTTTAACTCCCATGAGTGACCAAGACAGAATTTCTCCTTACAATATCAATACAATATCAACCAGATAAGTGATGAGAATAAACTAAGAAAAATATCAATTTGGGGATAATTAGTTGATTTAATACTAAATTCTCTGAACTTACATTATAAGAATTGTATGGTTGACAGTAAAGAGAATTACAAATTTGATTTGGGAGTTACAGGGTTAAGGACACAATTTACAATTATTTACAGCATTACTAAAAATTGATGTGTTCATTAAGGTCAGTGATAATATGAAGAGTATCATGTAACATTCATCAATATAGGCACATCTCTTTAATTACAGAAGGAAAAATGAAATAAATCTCTGAAATTTACAGTCTAAATCATAATTACACATAATCAGCTGGAGATTAAGTTTTGTTCATGGGGATGTTAAAAAACAAATGTCAAAACAAATTTAGGTCAAAAGTTTCAAATTTATTTGTTCTGTTCTTATTTATGTTGACAAATTATCATAATTCCTAGACAAAAGTAAATTCACGTCAACCTAGTTTTGAAAAATTATCACCCAACTTTGATTTTTCTACAATTTAGATGTTTTATTCAATTAACTTCAGATCACATGTTAGTTTGTGAAAAAACATGCTCAACTTTCAAATTGTCAAATATAGCATTCTAACAAATATTAACCTTTTACCTACAAGTAGTGACTAACATGAAACTTCTCCCTATAATATCCATACATTATTCAGCAAGCAGGTAATGAGAATACTCAAACTTTCAGGAAAATTTCCAAATTCTTGTAACTAATTTCTTTAAAAGGTTGATAACTAAAAGCACAAAGAGCCTGAACTATAGTTGAATTTTTCCCTGAGGAGACTTTGAAAATTAGAGTCCTTTATTTTTTCACTTCCTGTAATCTCTTGTTATCCTGAGAAAGGAATTGTTAAGGTTTAATATTAGGTGAATTTTTCATGATCTACTTGGTTTTTGTTCATTTACCAGTAATTCTTATACATCATATTTACAAGTGTTAACGTGGTTTTGTAGAGAAGGTAATTAATTTAAATACTTTCTCTTCAAGACCACCCTTGAAAGCAAAACAAATAATGAAATAAAAATTAATTAATTAATCAGACCCTCTAACACTTTGGGGCTGCACTTTCACTTTCAAATGTAGTTAACAACTAGAAGAAACCAAGACATAATTTCTCCTTACAATAAAAAAATAATATCAGACAAGCAATTGATGAGAACAAAGGATTGATTATAAAACTATAAATTAGGGGCTTATTGGTTAATCCAAAACTAAATTCTCCAGACTACCATCTTAAGAATTGTATGGCAGGCAGTAATGAGAAATACTTATGAAACCTTGTGTGAGAAAAGGTTAATTTTAACTATGAGGAAAGGCAGGAATTATTAACCCTTGAACCCCAAAGAGTAACAAGCATCTAGATTCTCCTTACAATATCACCCCTGAATAAAACAGTAAGGTCATGAGAATGAAGGAAATGACCACCAACTAAAGAACCTCTGGGTTGTTTGACAAATTCTCCTTATCAGTATCTCAGAAAATGTATAAAGAACAGTATGGAGAATATGAAAACTGATGTTAGGGTGTAAAGGGTTAAAAGAAAAAGCCAAAAGGAGACAGGGTCTTATCTTGCAAACTTGATTGAGCAATAATCACAAGACTAATTAGAGACCTTAACCCTTTAACTTCCAATTCTCCTTACTGTCTACTGTACAATTCTTTTGATGTTAGTTTGGAGAATTTGGTGTTGGATCAACTCCCCTAATTGATATTTTTCTTTTTTCTCATCACTTGTCTGCTTGATATTGTATTGATATCGTAAGGAGAAATTCTGTCTTGGTCACTCATGGGAGTGAAAGGGTTAATAACAGCAAATAATTCATTGTACAATAGTCCACAATTTCTGTTAAACATCACTTAGCCTCCCCTTAAGTGAGGAGATTAAGCTTCATCAGCTTAAGACACAAAGTGTGTCTTAATTTCATCCTCCTAATTCCCAAACTGACACACCACACAAGTTGTTATCAACTAAGTTTATAAGCTGACAGGCAAATGCAGAGAGTGTAAAAGGGTAAAACTATATGATGACAGATCCTAACTTCTAAACCTGATTGACAAATAATCATAATAACCATTGATCACAACATGTACAAACTAACAGTTTTGTTTCTGTGGTTACTAAAACATAACTATGTATGTGATACATTTTCTGAACAGCATGCATGCATTGGTCTGTTACTTTTGCAATTCCTATGGTGTTAGTAACTTTTGGTCATACTGGTGTGTTGTAAAGTAAGCTTAATGTGCATTAATGGTGTATATTATTTTGCCTTTAATCCTGTAACTCCCATGAGTGACCACAACAGAATTTCCCCTCACAACATCAATACAACATGGAGCAGTTATAGGATGAGAATAAAGAAAAACATCAATTTTGGGACTATTAGTTGCTCCAATACCAATAAAAAATTCAGTTCTGGGAAATGATGGGTATAGTTGAGTTTAGTTGGAATCACTCTCCTTACTATTATGCCACTGGTAAGCTATCTTTAAGTAACCATGGGAACAGTAATGGCACTGTTAAAGTACCTCTTTAATTTTGTCCATATCACCTCGCAGATTTTCATAAGTGTAGCTTGCTTCTTGTAATCTGGTGGTAAGTTTTACCAACATGTCAATGTCTAGTTTTCCAGTACCACCATCATCTTTGTCACGATGTCTGTTGGTGAAATCCATAGATGCCATTGTTCGCTCTCTTTCAATCATCTTTTCATGAAGTTGCTTGTTTTCAGCTTTTAGACGATCGACAGTGTTTTGGAGAGACTTGACTTCATCCTAAACAATAATATAGAAGACTTTTGCTTTCAAATATGAACGTTAGCACTTTCCATCATATGACTACATGATAGGAATTTGTATTTTGGGATTTGTCTCTTGCAGAGGCAGTATGGCTGGGTTGATTAGGGCACTGGACTTGTAATCTGGTGGTCCTGGGTTCAAGCCCTCCACCCTGCTACTCATTGGATTTGTTCGTGGTCCCCCCCACCTCCCCAAGTTCATCTCCTCAGCTGCGCGCTGTGTAAACAGCCAACTGGTCTGCCTCCTTCCAGTTACGATTTTCAAGAACTTTATGTTTCATTCAAATATTTGTTTCTCTCTTTGCGCATAAGAGCATATGTAAATGAATATATACATATTGTAAAAATTAAATTTATTGTTATTATTATAACGATGAGTTGGTAGTTTCCTCCGCCTATTTCACCTCACAGACCTTGCATTCACTCTTTTTGTTATCTCTGACTGATATTAACTAAAAGCTGTTGCTTGTCCCTAATAACTTAATTTCCTGCTGACGGGAAGTTGTTTTGGTTTCCATCCCTGATGGTTACCCAAGATAATTTGAACTGTAATATATTACAAATTTGTGACAAGTCAAAACTGATAAAACACAGGCGGCCATATTATTGCATTATTTATGAGGCAACTATATAAAGCACATGAATGCAGCGCTAGCAGCTCAACAAAGCTGTCTTTGAAACAGGTTGCCATACACATCCTCCAAGCTGCAACCATTTTTTTTTTAATTTTGTTAACTAAATTTCCTGCTTTAGGATCCAGATGACCACTTGTACATATCAGTAGAAGCAGACTGTTGTGTCATTGTTACTAGTGTTTATGGTCTAAAGTTCAACTGACATGAGAATTTTCCTGAAATATTCTTAATTATTCATCATTCTTTCTTGCAAATGTTGCCTCTATCTCAATGGTTAGTCCTGCAAAAGTCTTGAAATGTTTCATGAATCTCCAAAAATTAAATTTAATGCAGACCAGGCCATTAAACTTTCATTTCTGGCGACCAATTAAAAAATTCTTGGTTGTCACATGGCAACTTTGAAAAAGGCTTGAACATGGAACCCTGGAAAAGTACTAGGACTTCTCTAGTCAAACTACTTTGAATTACGCTTTATAAGATGGAAAAATTTTAATGAGGATTGTGTTGCTCCATTTTCACTCGTGATGATAAAATTTGATTTACGCATACATTGTATCTACCAAAATACAACAAACACCTTTCAACCCTGATTTCCGGCAATTTGGTCTCATCTCTTGATAACTTGGAACTTCTCAGAAGTCGAACCTTTATCAATTTGTGAGTTATCAGGAGTCAGTGGTACTCAATTTTCAGAAACAACTCTGCGACCACATAGGGCAGCACATGTTTACTTCTTATCTTGGAATGGCAGGCCAAGGGCCTAACTTTTATTACTGTTCCCCTACTCTACAGCAAAAATAGACTCACGCAAACAGTTCACCAAATTATACTGAGTCATAGCTGCATGTGAAGGAAAGTAATTAACAAAGAGGCTTGCATGTAACTTGATTGTTATTGGGTTGATAGCAACTTTCAGGGATGTCAACAAAACAGTTGACCAAGCTAGACTAAGAATACATTTTGCGTGCAGGAATGCAACAACTTAAGGAGGCAACGAGATTGTAAGTAGGCTTATGGCCACCTCAAGGGATGTCAATGAAAGCCAGTTATGGTGTTTTGTCCCAGTTAATAAGTCCTCTAAGAGCTGTCTGTTGTAATTTTAGTGCATTAAGCTGTTTTCAACCTCTATGGTGTTCACAATTGTCTATTCCTTGAATGGTGCCTATTTAGCAAAAAAAAAAAAAAGATTGAAAACTCCGCCCTGAAATAATGGGGAGTAAAGATGTCACAGCCACGACGCCTGGAAAAATATCATATCAGGACTGAACTCTCTTCTCTCTGTGAATTTTGGCAGTGGCTTAATGTATTCACTGTCTCTGGCAGTTCAAAATTTCCCCTGCGGCATAACACGTGAAAGGCGGTGATGATTTCAAAGCGGCAACGTGACTAAACTGTTATTTGCGGTTTTTATTCTCTTGGCAATTATTCACTATTGTTATATATAAGACAGCAGATAGATTTTCAAAGTTTTGACATGCATTCATCAATCTAATGTCCTTTCTGTTAAAATCTCCTGTTTGGTTAGTTGCCTGTTGCCATCATTGCGTTCTTATGCTAATATCAGACATTTTCACAGTCTAAGCAACATAGCAAACTCCCACACACATTAACATTGATCGACATATTTCTTTGTTCATTGATGGAAATCAGAAATTACCATCTTCTTTAATCTATCAACACAAAAGAGGCTTTGAAAATCACACATTCAAAGAGAACGCAGGATGCTAGACACACACGAATCTAGTATACTAAAGGCTTAGTGCAATAAGGTCACTATAGCCAAGTTGGTAGCGCATCTGACCAAGTTATTGGATGGTCTAAAGTTTAACATCTTTCGGGGATCTCACATATGCTTTATGTTCGCGACAGATAAGTAACATCTTTCTTTGGTATCACGAGTTGTGGTCGTGGACAAACAACCTTTATACCGACTTGCTTAAAATCTCCTTGGAAACCACCCTATTTCAATCATAGATTAAACATTGGCGGATGGCATCAGAATATAATAGTACAGTTTTGGACACAAAGAAAAAGCATCAGCACTGCTTAAAGCTACTTTTAGTGCTGCGTAAGATCCTTGAAATTTCAACTGTAATACCTTTCAATTGACCACATCACGGTTCAAACAACAAGCTATTAAACATTTAGTATAATGAAAAGAACACTCCTAGGTTTAATGGAAACAATTGGTTGTCACCCTTAAGTGGTCATATGAGACAAACAACTCACAACAAAAACACGCTGTCTAACATGCACATGTAGAATGCATACTACCAGAAATAGTAATATCTTAAATCACTTGGCACTAAGCCAAAGCCTGCTAGGGAAGTAACTCACAAGAAATGAAAGAATCCCTGGATCGCAATGGCACGCAATGGTTTTTAACTAAAATATTAATAGAACAACAATGTTTTTTTTCTTCTCATGTTGCCGCAGGTATGTTAATACCATTCATATTAGGGGATGACCCTTCTAATTTCTGAAGTACAAATTATTCAAAACTGCACAAAGATTTCCATCAAAAAGAGTACAGAGGGTGACATTTTGTTTGGTACTGGTTTACATTCATTTTTGGCCAAAGGATGTTGTTTCAGACGACGCCTACGCTTGTGTATTACAATAATAAAAACTTTTTAAAGATGGTGAAAGGCGACAAGTTACAAAATGATAATACTTCCATTGTTTCTTTGAGGATAAATATATTGTACTGCAGGTTTAGGAAACACTTGTTGTAGTAATAAAGGGAACCTACAAGAGATTGAACCAATTCACAAGGAACTTCTAACACCAACTCTCTAAGTTCAGAAGAATTACAGGATTAAAAGGTGTTTCACCCGACATAGTCTTTCCGTGACAACTACATCTTGGTCCCCTCCTTAGTGTATAATCGTTTTCCGGCATCAAACTTAACAATCACCAAAATTGATTCAACCCCATGATTTTGGCATTTCCTGTCTCGTGTCTTACGGGATGACTTGATTTAAATATGCATTTCTATTAGATTAACTATCCAGCTAGTACTAACAATAACAGATCAAAGTCTGCTTTGTAAAAGACACATATAGGTGTTTAGCATCAAAACGTACAGTGATTGTGCTATGACCTCTAACAACATAGCTGAGATATTTCATTGAATGGGATATTGCATGTGTATACCAATGTGAAAAAGCATGAAACACCATCCATGTTTTCTTAACAGTGGTAAATATAAATCAGTGAAATCACGACAGCGTGATATTTCTGTATGGCCATAGGAATTAACACATGCGGTTTGCATGCAAGTAATTCTTTGTTTACCTCATATTCTTGCCTTATTAAGTCAAGTCTTGTACGTCTTAAGTCTGCCCTTGTTACAGCATCATTACTCACTGGCAAATCAATACTTCCTAGTGAAAAATAGTATAAAACACAAAATATTTTCTTTCTCTAAATATATTATTTCTCTAAGAACACTAAGTGCAGCTTAATTTAATATTGTGAAGAGAACGTTCATCAAACAGTGAAAAACTGTCTGAGAGTGTCTGAAAAGAACATAAATAGTACTTGGTCACCTGGAGTTGCTACAGGAACAGCACAATTAAATCATTGTTATTCTAATTTATTCATGTCTGGTTTGAGGCATCACAAAGTGTTTTATAGCATATTGTGCAACAGAAACCGACAGCTTGTGGTTAAGGAAAATAAGAGAGACCATCCAATTGAAACGATCTCCCAGAGCCTTGAAAAGCTTTTGCCACGTAAACAATGCACCTCATTGGTCAGCTAGATTGACATCGCAATACACAATTGATTCAGATAAATTGCAGGTTACAGAGGTCATTTGATAAATTGCCTTGCTCACGTCTGTTCGATGGTTCACACAAAGGAGGTATGAAAAGCATGTGCTAGCTCAGACGGTCACTGACCCACAAGTCCGGAGCCATATTGTGCATGCAAGTCAAGGGGCAGGACTTTAGAGCTTAACTTTGAGTAAATGCAAAAATACCCGTATCATGTTTTGAGGGACTACACCTGAACACAAATAAACATTTCCTTTGTTTCACTGCTACCAGGGACAACTTCAAAATCTATTCTCCCTGATGAATTTTCCTCGTTTTGTGCGTTTAGTGATTCAACTGAACCAACAGATGAACCAGACAAAGCATCTTCCAATCGCTTACAAGAATTGTTAACAAATTAAACACCATCCTTTCAGAATCTAATTAAGATCTAGAATTTCTTCGGCCAAAGAAAGGCTCGATCATTATTTCCTGAATGTAATTACGTCCTTGAAACATCGTAACCCGGCCGGCGTTGAAGACAGCAATAGTCAAGCATAATTCCCTTTTAACTTCCCCTCTAACTTAACCTTGGAACGTCGCCCTCTCTAAAAGCGCAATGCTAGTTCAACTAGAATCACGGCGCTTGGCGAAAGTTCTTACCAAGAATTTTCTTGCAGGGCTTCTCCGTTGTTATCGGCGTTCGGCACGTTGGGCAGAATGAGTGTGTTCGTAGCCACAAATCCATACAGTTTGAGCAAAACACATGTTGGTTAGGACAAACTACAGGCTCTCTAACCTGAATATAAACCACACATGGAAGGTTAGATCATGTACATTCGAACTGACATATTCTTCGACAATGCGCGCGCGAAATGACAAACATCACACGACACAAAGTGTCACTAACAGCGAGGTTCTTACCTTCCCTAGACATATCTGGCACGAAATCGGAAGAGTCATGGAGAGGGAAGTTGAAGAAACGGAGACCTTTTTGTTCGCCATGAGTGTTTATGCTTCGTCCGGTGTCATGCCATATGATCTATTGGAGAGCGCGTTTAACTGTTTAAACCGTGACATCCTGGGTCTCCTCTCCTTGACACTGGTGAACAGCGGACGCATTCGAAGTGCATGCTCAGTAAACTGTGGAATCCAACATGGCGGCAATTTCGAGAGCGACAGGAATTGATGACTGGTGGAAAAGTCTTCTTGTTTTCTCTGTATTGCTGAAATCTCTCCTGATACCTGCGTAGTACCATTCACGTTACCATTGTCAATTTGTTGAATGTTGATTATCGATATGTAAACTTGTAAAGGTTATTTTCAAATATCACTGTGTGTTTGAGCATTAGCAAAACGACTTAATCGTTATTATTATTCTTTATTTCAGCTGTTAAAATTTATCAGGGGGTGGCCATCTAATTTCGATCCTTCTTTAAGCTGCCATAATTTGCATTCACTTTGACATTTATTGTTTATAATGTAGAGCTTAATTTAATCTTGCTTATACCAGTGCAAAGATTGCATGTGATCAAACTAAATTCGACTTGAAGAATGCTGATATTTTTGTTATCAGCTCAGCCAACGCACATCATTGCGAACTGCTTATATAGTCTCATTAACAGATTAACTTGAAACAAAGTACTGTTGCAAAAGTATATCTTTGCTTTTTGATACCGAATCTTCTCTGTGTTTTGGCGAGCACTTCAGATGACAGTAGTTGTAAAAATCAATTTTCACCGGTTGAACATAATGGTTTGGGGCATAGAATATTGTCTGTGTCAGGTTAGCACTTAATTCTTATGTCTGAGAGGTAATTAGAAACGTCTGATTACATAACATGAGAGGTGACGAGACAACAATACGACATTATATTGAGCCTGTTGACATTACAAGAGAGCTTATCATCAAATCTTCTTATTAGGCTCTGTTTTTAATGGTGCTTAAATTTGTCAAATGGTAAGTTACAGGTTTTAATTCGTGTTGTTCCATCTGCAGTTCAAAAATGTAATTCGATATAATAAATAAAGAGAACATCAGAGTTCAGTTGCATTTAAATTTATTTGGAGTGGAATTAAGTGACATGTCTTTGTGGTGTTTTGTTTGAATGGATTTTTTGCAGCCATTCCAGTGATTTTGAGGTGCACAGAAATTGGCTTGCTATTACAAACAGTTTGCCCTTGTCAAGATGGTATTATGAGGTATGGTATGTGCACGCAACCCTTGATAGTCACACTAATATTGTAGTTATAGTAGAGATAAAAACTATTGCAAGGATAATAATAATAACGATAGCAGTAATAATGCCGACGATGACGTTTTATAAGAATGTATATTTTTGGCAAGTTGCTGAATAGCCCATGGAAGGTTTAGCATAAGATCTTGTTGGCTGAGAGTTTAGGGCAAGCTAGGATCTTAATAAAGTTGTTATCCAATCTCAGAGCACCTCCTCTGCCCAGGATTATAAACTGGGTCAAAAAACCTACTGTTTTGTTGGTTGCTCTTGGCTAAATTTATGCTTATCAAGGGTAAACTGACTTTAAATGGCTAAACTGTGAAACATTATTTGGTAATTTGGTTATGATAATAGTCTGCATTGTGAAAGTTTGTCCCAAAAATTCAATCAGGTGTTGTTAATCCTCTTATTACGACTCAAAGTTCTTATTTCAATGTGTGATGCGCTTATTCCAAGGGTTCACATATTTGAGGGCCTTGATATTTAATCATTTTTTCCACGCAATTAGCTACATGCAGCTATAATCACTTTTCTTCTCACAATGCTTTATTTGAATACAGAAAATACAATAAGCTGTCTTTATATTCAAAGTTGATCCTTAAGTTTAATAGCAGCACAATACATTGACTTATTTTTCAAAACTTAATATGTTTACTAAGTGGAAACAAGTTTGGTGTGAAAGTCCAGTGATAAAACATAACCAATACTTTACATTGTTGTCGTAGTAACTAGAGTTTTTATAAATCAGGCACACATGTTTATTCAATTTTCAGATTATCAACATTACATTGGCTGGCGCACAAATAGACAGAGCCAGTCTAAAGCAGTGGTGAATTAAGCATGAGATAGCTAACTATACTCTCTAAGCTAACTGTCTAAACTAAACTGGATTCAGTTTAGGGAAATACTTACAACTGAACAAATTTTATTATCAAGAAATACATTGCAAAGGAAATTGTGATATTATTGTTTACAATTTGTTACTTCTATTATACTTGTTTGAGAATCGAAGTAATTGTCTTTGTCTGCCAGGATGCCAAATGAAATATCATGGAGTTTAGTCCAAAAGATTTCTTGGTTAGTAGGTCTTAGGCTGGCTAATAACTCATTCCACAGCTTGACACCCATGTCAGAAAAATGAGTTTTGCATTTTGAGTTCAGAATTTTTGAACAAATACATTTTTGGTAGAGGAAGATTGCGTGTTTTGCGAATGAATGCAATTTGTATTCTCTCATCCAAATGCGTTTGCTTTGTTCGCCAATACTTGTTATTTAGTTGATATAGTGCATAGTTTCTTGTTCTTATTGTCTACATAAGTTTTTGATAGTGCCTGAGTTACGTCTTCTCTAAGATTTTCATTGAATTTGATACACCACAGATTGTAATTTTGTTTTATCTGGTTTGGTTGTTCGGTTTTATTTTGTGGTTGGATATTTGTCTTTATTTGATCCCAGTTGAATCATACCTTTGTACATATTCATTTGGTTTAAAAGATATTTCAGCATTCAATATGGTTGTAGCATTCATCTACAATTATCTCGGTACTTGTCCAGGGAAGTTAGGGAAGAGGAAGGAAGAAAGCACCCATTTTAACTTTTTGCCGATAGGAAGGTAGGACAGTTTTCTCTTCTATTACAAGCATGAAAGATTAAAAGAAATTTTCAAGCAGGTAGAGCAGTCTTTTTCCTGTTGACTTATTCCGAATTTCAATTTGTCTGGCGGTAATAAGAGATACTACAAGAAATAAATTTTTTCAATTATTGCCTGAAAAGGAGAACACTGGAAGGGGATGCTTGTTCAAGGAGTCAACATGTCCCAGTTACCTCTGTATACAAACTTGATCTTGGCAAAAGGCATCACAAAGTAACAAGCAGTGATGATCCCACAAAATATCATCCTCCTCCATTATTATTGATTATTTTTTCTGGAACTTGTAGAAAACTTCAGAGTGGACTCTGGATTATCCACCGCTATTCGCCTGGTTTGAGTATTTGTTATCACAAGTAGCTGCCTTGGTCGATCCTAGGATGGTGATTATAAGCAAGTTACCTTATACAAGTCTACCAACTGTACTGTTCCAAAGAGGATCTGTTATGTTTACAGACCTGCTGTTGGCTTACGCTGTGAAGGAGTGAGTCACTTTTAATGCTTTCAAATTTTTTGCTAGTTTGTCCTGATTATTCAAAAAGAGCTTTTACGAAGTAAATTGACTTAATCAATGCAGTTATACACAATCAAGTAACACAAAATACCATGCGCTACTCATTTGATCTTTTGATCTTTTGTGTTGCCATGTCTTTCTTGCCATGGCTGTTACTGCTGTAGTTTGCTTAGGGTCCCTTTCAGTGCATGTGAAAACCATGCCTTTCTTTGAAAACTGGTTTGGACATGTCAGATTGTTCAACTCTGAGGATACCAAGAGAGAATGATGTGAGTGAGTGTTTTGTCAAGTGTACATGAAATATGCAAGTTCTGTGGATAAAACTATGGCTCAAAGACATTTTTTCAGAGTTAATTCCAGTTATGAGATCTCATATGAAATGGTGTGCCTACCTAAAGGCTGAGTAAGTTGTGTCAACTCAGTAAGTTGGTACTCTGTTTCCAAAGTAATGTGCGCTGGAGTTGTGCGAAGGACACTGTAGCATAGAGTTCAGCATAATGAGCTCCAGCTATGAAGGCTTAGTTTCCAACCCTAGAGCAAACTTTGTGTTTTATTCTTGGGCTAGAAATCTCACTTTTGCAGTGCCACTCTTCTACCAAAAGACAGTATAAATAAGAATCGGCAAACTGTCGAGTAGACTTGGTAAAATACCAGGAGTAACTCTGCAATGGAATGGCATTCTATCTGTGGAGATTGAAACCTACTCTGGGTGGTCGGGCTGGGTGGTTTGTGAGCCTACTTTTAATTGCTCTTTCTTTTTTTTACCCCCTAAGGTATTGTAGCTATCTTGCCAAGAAGTCTTCTGTTACAGTGCGCAATTGTTTGATCTTGGCTATATTGATCATTTTTAATTTTGGTCTTCTGATAGTGGATCATATCCTTTGATACTTTCACCGCCTCAGGAAAACAGAATAGTCGGGCGAATTGGATTAGTTAATCAAGAAAATGGTTGTTTAAAGGAGAGTTAGCTTAATATGAAACAATTGAATTTGATCGCATTACATTTGGCCATAAAACTATTAAACTAATCAAAATTAGACAAAAATTTCAATGGCGGTAGTCATTACTAAGTTCAAAGCACTTTTGAAATTTTTGGGCATGGCTACAGCAGGGAATGTTTTGTCTACAACTTATTTAAGATTTGCCAAAATTACCTCAATGTTGACCAAATATGGTATTAAAGTAACTAACTCAAAAGGATTCATAAATTCCTTGACGTCTTTCAGACATTCATTTCCAATACAATGGGTTCTTGTTTGGCATTCTGCTTCTCTCTATAACAAAGTTGTCGCAGGTATATTTCATTGTTTTATTTTTTCTTCTCAGTGAAGGTGTGTTCACTGTATTTCCCTTAACTGTATCTTAATTTGACCCTTTAATCCCCCTGTTCTAATTATTAATTCTCCCCACTACATGCTACACATTTCCTTGTAAATTAGTTACAAGAATTTTTTATTTTGATTCCTCTCCTTTATTTGATAATTTTTTTTGAAGATGAAAAAGCAATTACATTTATTGTAAAATTATGCTCTTGTGGTCCTTGAAAACCATGGTTGCATTTTAAGACCAAATCAACTAAAAAGAAAGGTACTGTTTGGAGCAGCATAAACTAATAATAGCCCATTTAGGAGAGTCTTCCCCCTCTGGGTTTCGATACATATGTTACTTTTGTTTCTGACTGTGGTGAATAAAATCTGTACTTTTCATAAATTTGCTTGTTAATCCACAGCGATCTATACCTCAATTAATGAGGGCAAAATTTTGCATGAATTGAAAGCATTGGAATATTCTTTCTATGAAGACCACTTAAACAAAAAACTATTGCCAAGGGCCACCTTAGATAATTACTGACCAGCCCAACCTGAGGAAAATGCTAGTGTGCTTTTTAACTACAACTTACAGTTTATGGCTCAATTTCAGCAAGTGTTCAAAAGTGAAACAAGAGCATTTAAATGATCTTTTATGCCCCTTTTTAGGGACTTTTCCAAATTGAGAGTTTTAAGCGTAACCTTTCCACTTACATGTGGACGTGGTAAGAAATAGGGCTGCTTTTCAATTTGTCAGAATTCTGCTATTTCACTGTGTTGTTGCAAATGTTTCAAAGGTGAAAATACAAAAGTGTTTGACATTGCTAGGAGATGAACTTTATTCATTTGTCTCATGTTGGAGTCTTTTTTGAATGTTGATTGCGACGTTTCAACTGCAATACTGCCAGTCTTCATCAGGCAATGAAGATTAGCAGTATTGCAGTTGAAACATCACAATTGACATGCAAAGTGACTCCATCTTGAGACAAACAAATAAAGTTCATCTCTTATCTTACACCACGCTGAATAATAACCACATATTTTATTACTAGCAGTGTTTGACTTTATTCAGATCATTTGTTCTGGCTATAAAGTAAAGTTCAGGTGACTCATTTCAATCACATTTCAAATGCTTACTCACATGGTAATTGATAATTTTAGGGATGTGCATTGGAAGGCTCTTTTTGGTTTGCAGTCCTGCTGAATTTCAAACACATCTTTCTCTACATTGCCCCAGCATACTTCATTTTCCTTTTGCGATCTTACTGTTTCCAACCATCTGCAGCTGAAAAGAAAGGTAAATTAAACATATAAAATCACTTGACTGTAACCAGAACCCCTATTTTTACAAAAGCATAGCCAAATGAGAGGTCCTATGATGTATGTGATGTGCTTCATTATCAAGAAACCATTATGGAAATAAACTCTTTAACTCCCATGAGTAACCAAGAAAGAATTTCTCTTAACAAGGAAGACAAAGGAAGAAGAATATCAATAAGGGAATTATTAGCTGATTCAATAACAAATTCTCTGCAGTAAAATTGTATGAATTGCATGACAGACAGTGAGGAAAATTACTAATGAGGTCTTAGTGGTGAAACGGTTGAGACAGTTCAGCTTCCTCTAACTGCTTCCTTGTATTTATGGCCACATTTTTTCTCCTAGTGTCTGGTTCAAGCATTCACTGTTATCTAAATCTTTCTGAAAGGGCCAGTTTTCCACAGTGCATTGGTCATGTATCTAAGGAATAAACTACAAGTCAGTCTGCTTTGGCTTCACTTGAGCAGACAGCCTTTGAGAGATTAACTTTGCTAGAATTTGAATGATAATTGGGGGAAAAGAAATGTCTCCAATGCTTACCAGGTGTCATGTTGGGAACCCTTCACTTAAATGGCTGCCTCTCTCAAAAGACATTTTTGGCTTAAATAAGGTGTTTGTTTTGACAGCAGTAAATGAAAACCTGACTTTCCCCCCCCAATACAAGTGAGGGACTACTGTAAAACTCCCTCTTGCAGGCCAACACCTACAGGTGAAGCCTAACTATACCCCTTTGTTACCACCATTACTACTATATGATATGTATGATATATTATATATATATATATAATATATGATATATATTATATATATGATATATCTATATATGATATATATATCATTATATATTATATTATATTGTATTATATAATATGTAGTATATTACTACTTTATGAGGTTAGCTCTTGCCTTTCAAAACCAGAATTTTAGAATATAGTTGACTTGGCTGACAATGATTGTCTTTTTTAACTTTGCAGAGAAACAGTTAAGAATTTTTGGTGTAAATATTTGGGATTTTTCCCCTTTGAAGTTGATGAGACTTGGCATCATTGTGGTCTTTGTATTTGGTCTTTCATTTGGACCATTCATAGCCATGGTATGGTTTCTTACAACATATAGTTCAAAATAGTGGTAATCTTCTAGTTCTACCAAGTTAAGTTGTTATGCAACATTTGCATGAACATGGGCTCACCGGGCACACCTAATTTGGAGCCTTTGTTGTGTGTCCCGCACCTTCATCTCTTGTTCTTGTGACCTCTTCAAATGTATTTCTTCTTCCTAGTCTTATTTTAGCATTGTGATCATGGAAAAAGCAATTAAGTGAATGTTCATAATTGGCTTACAATATAGTGATATCACATAAAGCCATGATCCTGGCAGGTGAGTGGCAATTTTAGCAATTGCAGAAAAGAAGCAGTAACACTAGTGACACAGTGTCAATGGGAATTGTGTTTTCTCGTTCATTCTACAGAAACTGGAAAAAACTTGCACAATACAGTGCAGTATAAATGTTTTCAAGTATTGTTTTTGGTTGATTCTTGAAAATGATGTAGGATTTGGTTGATGCACTTTACTTAGCTCTGTGATTTGTGAAGAAACTTCTTGCATCTTCTAAAACAATTTGATACAGATCTTGTACCAATCAAGATTTGTTATCATTTTTCTTTGCTTCAGGCAGTTTGCTGTTTAAGTTTTTGAGGTCTCTCAATTCTTATCAACCTTTTCTTTTACTTTGTTTTTGGTTTTTTAACATTCATTTGAAAAACTCTTGACATTTATGGTTTTTTTAACCAATCAAATTTAATTTACAGCATTTTGTATAATTAGGTGCATATATTACATATAATACATTAACTCTCCTACATCACAAACAATATGTTACATACAAAATATCACAAATGATAAACTTGCTATGATTAATTCCTTACAACAAATTAATTGTGTTTTCTTTCAATGCCACTCTATGTTAACAGTGAATATTACCTAAACAGTGGTGATAGTGTTGGTGGGGAATTTTAATATTTTTCATCTTAAAATTTAGGCTATGATGTGAAAATATTTTTTAATCCCCTGCATGCCCTCTAATGAAAAATTCCTTGATCTACTCTTGCTTACTTAGTTAAATTGTGTAATAAATGCTCACAATTCTTACAGTACTCACAAGAAGTAGTGAACTTAGTTTATCACTAACAGGATTATCTACATTACAAATCGTATTATGCTATAAAAGTTTTCTTAAACTGGGTATGAAAAAATTTGAGCATACAGGTTTAAAAAGAGACAGAAGAAACTGTCAGCTAGCTTTTTTGTAGTGTATGATATTTTTGAATTTTTTTTTTATATAGGGTCAATTACCTCAGGTGCTATCAAGACTTTTTCCTTTCAAACGAGGTTTATGCCATGCCTACTGGGCTCCAAATTTCTGGGCTTTGTACAATGCACTGGACAAGGCTATTGCTATTTTTGGTAAGGTGTAAATGACTTAATCCTTCAACTTCTAGAAGTGATTAAAATGTAACTTCTCCTTTAATATCCATACATCGTCCAGCAAACAGGTAATGAGAGTACTCAAACTCATCAGGTACAAGTTTTAATCTTGATCTGACATCAAATTCTCATAAATTATTTCCAAGGAAATGTGCCGCAGCTAGGGGAGAATTAGCAATCAGATCATGGGAGTTGAATGGTTTACAACAAGTTCAAAATCAATACAATATTCCAGCTGAGTCTCAAATATTGTGTGTGGTACTCTGCCATTTGGCACAAAAATTTTGCAGGGTTTGGTTTAGTATCTTTGGAGATCTTAAGGCTTTGTTCTTCAGTTACAAAGTAATATAAATTCCACAGGAAATGATTCCATCAAAACAAAATGCTGCAAAATTTGCTTTTGAATATTTTGGTCTGTTGAGGAACTTGAGGGAATGAGGCTCCAGCCAAGCAGGAGACAGGAAAATTGTTTTCTGTGGTTTCATTGTTGTGTGGCACTGTTTTGGCATTGTGTTCTAAGGGTTGAGAAGTTCAGATATGAGATTGAAAAATTCAGTTGGATGTTTCCATGTGCTGAAACTCAATGAGTTAAGAAAGTCAAAAATATTATCAGACATTTCCTTGTTATTTTTTTTTTTTGGTTATCTTGATTCACTTAAAAGTGCCTCTGCAAAACCCCAAAATTTACAATCACCAGAATAAAACTACTACACAATTTTCATGTTACATGATTGCCACGGTTTAGATAGCTTAAAGTTTTTCACAATTTGTATTACTGAATTTTAACCTCAAATTAATTGTGTGATTCTGCCCATCCAGAGCTGTTCATTTGTTTGCCGAATCAGCCAATAGTAAAGTTGTGTTTGGCGCAAGTCAGAAGAAAATCTAGCATCTGATTGTACTGTCAACTTATAGATAACGTGACATACAGTTGACAAAACTTGATAAAATCACTGGGAAAAAACCTTTATCACCACCAAAAGAATTGCCTTAGAGTTTTACCAAAACCATCAATAGGCTCTTAATCAGTTGCAAACAGAAATCTTAGGTTACATTTTTAGCAATATTTTGGATAAATTTGTGCAAATTTGTAGGATTGACAAACTTAATAAAATTGTGGAAAAAACCTTTATCAGCAAAACAATTGCTCTAGAGTTTTACCAAAACCATTAATAGGCTCTTAATTCAAACAAAAATCTTGGGTTACATTTTTAGTAATGTTTTGGATAAATTTTAACACAATTATTAGAGGGCCAGTAATGCTCCTTGCAATCGACAAAACAGAATGTTTCCATCAGAGCATTATCACTCACACAGTAGAAGACTTTAACATGATAGTCTATGTATGAAAACAATAAATTATATTTTTGTGTCATTTTAGGTTCAAAAGCAGGAATCTTGCCCAAAGATGCCATGAAAAGTAAAGCTTCCATGACAGGTGGTTTGGTTGGTCAGTCTGAGCACTTGATTCTTCCATCAGTTCCTCCAGTTGTCACAATGATCCTAACACTTTTTTCTGTGATGGTGAGTTGACAGGGACCAGTCAGTTTTTATTGTGGGGGGGGTTTAGGGGATTTTGGTTCTGTCACAATATAATGTACCTGTTACTCCCCCCCCTTCTAATTGGCAGTCAATTTTCAACTTGGAAATATAGCGACTATGTAAAGATATGGTTTTTTTTTCTGGTCACATCTGGGAGGGAAGAGGTTAAACCACAAAATTAAGATGAAGGCAATTGTCAGTCACAACAAAGAAAATTTTCTCTAGGAGTTGACAGAGCTCTTTTCGATTGAGTGTTGTAAAACTGAAGCCGAAGTAAGCACAATGGCAAATCAGTAGAAAGTGAAATGCCCTGAAAAGCCAATGGGAACTCAGAACAAAAACAATCGAACTGCCTAAAGTGCGGGAAAACTCGGGCGACCAAGTCGTGATCGGTTTTAGTTTTGTATCCGATTGGTTGAGAGAGTGGTGCAAGTTTTCCGGACCAATCACAGAGCGAAGTAAAGCAAAACCAGTGTTATCTTAAATTACTTTCGACACTCAATTGAAAACTGCTCCAAAGTTATAACAAGTCAACTACTGGAAGCGCGGGAAAACGCGGGTAATCAAGTCAAAATTGGGTGTAGTTTTAATTCTGATTGGTAGAGAGGGTGTTGCGAGTTTATTTTTTTTTTTGTGACCAATCACAGAGCTAGTTGAAGAAAAACGAAATCACTGGTTTCTTTCGATACTCAATTGAAAGTTGCGTTTTCTCTTTCAGCCTGCTCTATGGCATGTGTGGTTTAGGCCATCAGGCATCACTGGATTTCTCCGCTGTCTCGTTCTTTGTGCCTTTGGTTCCTTCTTGTTCGGTTGGCATGTGCACGAAAAGGCCATCCTGATGGTTATTGTTCCTCTCAGGTATAAAGTTCTGTAAATGTTTTATTTACATCGTTGTAATGGTAGATCTATTTTGGAAATCACGCAGTGCTTTTCCAACCAAATTCCAATGATGAATTGGAAACCATTGCGCGTGAAAACCCGCGAAAATTTGCTTTGCTCCCAACTGTGGCTTCTTAGCTCAGTTGAAAGTAGCGCCATCGGTCTTCAGGGAGCGTGGGTTCGAATACTGAGGAAGCCTGAATTTCAAGCCTTACTTTAATTAATAATTAATAGTATTCTAATCCATGTTTATCTCATTATTGTTATGCGTAGTCAGTATAAATTCGAAGAACTTGTCTCACAAGGCAGTTTGACTTCCCTGCTATACTCTCTGCTTAGAGATGGCTCCTCGTGAAATATAACGTGATTTTAGACGTCTTTGGTTTTTTTTGTCTGTTTGTTTGTTAATTGGTTTTCAGCTTAATGGCTGTTGTTGAAAGACGACCTGCACGGGTTTTTCTATTGCTGAGCACAACAGGCCATCTCTCACTGTTTCCTTTGCTGTTCCAGTCACAAGGTAAAGGTGTTCCCCTTGTTCATACGTAGAGGAATATACGACGGTTCGCTTGTACTGTTTTGATCACTCAAATAAAACTAACAAAAGTCTCTCAAGTGAAATTTAATCCATGTTTATCTCCCGAAATGAAGGTTATTAGTCTATGTGAGCGAGGCTTTTGTATGAGTGACATAACATAAAAATGACATAAAATGGTGTTGTTTTTTTTTATCTTTCTTTTTTTCGGTTATAAAACTCCTATTCTATGGAACGTGTATTAAGCGGTTCACCTTTATTCAGCGGTCACTTTCATTCCCTTTGGGTGACCGCTTAATACAGGTTCGACTGAAATCTGATTATAATTGTTTCATTTGCTTTTCGCTTTCAGAAACTCCCATTAAAGTCTTTCTCATGCTGATGTTTACAATTTTCTCGTTCTACTCACTCTGTCTTGTTCACTGGTAAGTGAAAACCTGTTTCACGCGATTCAGTGTGATATGATAAAGAATAAGGAACTTGCAGATCAAATGTTCGTTCGGTTTTGGGTACTTTATACGTGTCTTCAGTTAACTTTTACTATGTAAACAGCTTCTGAAAATACTTCAGTTTTTGAACAGTAAGTTCATGAAAGGAATAAAGCACCAAGAATTCTAATTTGTTGGAGATGAAGGATAATGATTAGGTTTATATATTTTTCTCTGTTTTCAGAATTTTTTGACAATGTGTTAAAGAAATTTATCGTGGGCTTAAGACACGCCCAAAGAATTTATTAATGTTTTTTTTCATTATTTAAAAAGAATTGGTTTTTTATTAATGTCAGTATATATTTTTTTACATTATTTCAAACATACATATATATATATATATATATTATATTTTATGTATATATGTATATATGTATATATGTATATATGTATATATGTATATATGTATATATATATATATATATTATATATATTTATTTATTTATTTATTTATTTATTTATATATTTATATGACATGTAAGTCTCGTTGCCCAGACACAGGAACGTTAGTATGTCTGGATTTACACTCACTATCGTGGGTAATGCTACAGTTTTCTACCGTAGTAATACCGCTCACAGGCGTTCATTGTGAACTGAATTTTCTCGCGCTCACTAAAATACAAACGGCGCATGGAGAGCTTGCGTTTGCGGGAAAAAATCAAACGAGGTTTAAAGGTTGATTTGTATTGTTACATAATTTTACTGATTTGCACGGCACGGGTCGGATATAAAGGTGAATAAGGTTTAGCCTTTCCGTCGACTCAAACCGTCCATTCTCTCACACAATTTTATTTTACAGTAAAGCGCGTGTTCGTCAACGTATAAGCCTACGTATTTTGTGTTTTTATGTGTGCTTCAAGGTGATAAGAGGCAAAGTTGCAAACGGGAATATTAAATTCCATTACAAACCTCTCACAGCTTCGTCTCTCATTTACACTGATCCTTCGCTGGAAGCTCAAAGTGCACACAAAAGCGCCAGTAATGCTGGCTTTCAACTATTGAAGAATCACGCAAAATTTGCGATACAATTAAACTTTCTGAAATCTTTATCTTTGTTTCCTTCAGCGGGGAATCTTCCGAAACGTCCATATCGGATCTGTTCAAATTACCCATTGTTGAGTGGTACGAAGCGTGTTACTTGTATGGTTTAGTTGTCTTGGAACTCTACTGCAGTGCCATTCATCCTTTTACTGTGCTTGCCGTTAAGCTGCCTTTTTTATCGCTCATGCTTACGTCGGTGTATTGTGCCGTGGGTGTGATTTGGGCGTGGATCTTATTTTACGTGGACACTCTGACGAGCTCGCTGATTAATAGGGCAGCGGTGTCAACTATAAGAGAAACTGTGGTTGGAAAACAGTCTGCCAAGAAGAAACACTGAAATGCCCCTTTGGACGAAGGTCAAGAGATTCTACAGATAAATTATAGTAGGCTAGTTTAAGAAAGTTTTTTGTCTCAAAACTATGGGTTTTGAATCCCTTTCAAACTAAATTTTAATACGGTGTTCTGTTAATCACTTTGGATTAGGACAAGATTGCTCGAAATATATGACTCTTCTAAATGTTATCTTGAACTTGCATGTCAAGTGTTCTTGTGACAAGCGTTCTTAGCTCTGAAAATCTTCAAACGGGTAAAATGGAAACCAGCACAGATTGCCTTAAGTCTTTTTTTTTCTCTGACGAATGTAGATGAAAGGCGAACGCATATTTGACATTCGAATAGGAAGAGATTGGGTCGAGACCACTCAAATAAAACTAGAAATAGTCCACAGGCTGGATTTCTTCTTGGCCTCTCGTCCCAGTCTTTTATCTTCCCCATCTCTTCAGGATCTCGCCCTAACTTCATTTCGCCTTATAGGCTTTCACTCAGTATTGAGAGAATATTGACATACTGCCAGAAACCTACAAACAAGAGCAAAAATAACACTTCCTGTCTACCTCTGTGACCGAAATGATAGGGGAAGAACGTGTAGTTAAAAATTTATAAAGATAAAACCCAAAAATTTGCGCGGGGGTAGAATAATAAGATGTCACAGTTTAGCTCTGACTTCCTATTGGGTCAAAGTCTAACTTAGGAATCCACTGAGATTATGCCTCAGTCTTCTTCCCCTGCCATGTGTTCTCTGAAGTTAAACATGTTGTACAAAGAAAGTATCTATTGTCGGGCACCCTCGTGGTATATATCTTCTCAAAAAGAAAATTGGGAACTTCGAGATCCTATACTTTGGACGCATGCTCATGAAATTTAGCAGATTTACCAAACTAGGCATGAGTAACCTTAGGCAGTGTAAAATTGGTTTCACAGAATATTCAGTTTCGTGACCTGCTGATGAATCATTTCAACAGGAGGGCGCTTAGAAAAATTCTGTGCGTTGAAAACCTCTTTTGTTGTTGTTGTTTTTTCTTTTTTACATTTTTGAACAACCAACTCCTCATGTACTGCCTCAAATCCATCACGGAAAGAATGTTCAGAGGTTTTCCTGTGCCATCAAACCCTGCAGAGGCCTTTAGCATAAATTAATATTTTGCCGATACGCATTTGAGGACTGGTGTGAGGCAGGTGTGAGGTGCGTGGAGAGTTATGGGATCGTAGTTTGTAGTTTGAGGTCGTTAGTAGGGCGAGGAAATCTGCGGTCAGTCTTCACCGTTTAAATTTATTAAGTTTTTTTTTTTCCTGAAATATCGTCATGTTCAAATGAGCTTTTACTTAGGGTTGTACTCGCATACCTCTTTAAGTAACTGTTCTCCACTTGTGTACATCATGATGTTATCATGATAGGATCATAGGATGCCCTAAAACCCCGAGGATGGCACCATTACCTTGGTTGGGGGTACGCGTTCCCCGCTTTTGCCACCTGCGGATTTTTAAGGGTTAACGCGTCTGGCTTTGGTTCATTTAGTTTCCATCAGTCGCAATAACCTTTTTCAAGCATATTGATGTTAAATATACGGTTCTGCGGCTTGGCTGACCAACGCACCCAGATATCAACACTGTGTGCCCAGTTGAGTTGTGGAGATAAAATAGGCACTTTGTTTTTTGTTACTTTTGTTTACGATAAGTAAAATCGGGAAAGCGTGACATGGATGTTGCGTGATGCATCGTCATGCTGCTGTTTTTCTTCTCTTTCTTTTTGGTCGGGGGGGTGGGGGGAGGAGGAGGGAGAAAGCCGTAATAGTTACCTTACGCATGTATCAAGCGTGTAATCGGAATTTAATAGGAAGATATGAAGCTTTAACCGTAGTTCTTGTGCGCGGGACGAGAGAGAAGTAAAGGACTACTCACTGCCTTATTGTTTGTGTTCCAGACGGTATTTCCGTCTCTTGGGACAAACAAAACAATACCTTATTTGTACACCGGTCGACAAGATCTGTTTAACACATTTGACATTAATCTCTCTCTGATATTGCATCTTGAATTATCTGAATAGAAGGTTTTATGCAAATAAAACTTTTTTAATTCCTAGAATAATCCCAATAAACTGCATCTGTGTTGTTCGCGTCAATGAGAGGTTTTTGTTGAAAACTCCGATTCAAAAGTTGTTTTCAATATGCGATTAACAGATTTTTTTTCGCCATATCGATAACTTCCGGAGGCTTATACCACAAGTAGGTTGTTTTGAATCTCCTTTAGTGTTACCTCTTGGTCAAATTTTTACTCAATCGTCATGTTATGTTGAATAACAACCTTTCAAATATTGCATCTTGAATTAACTCAATAGACAGCTTTCTACAAATAATATTTTTCAATTTCTTGAATAAACCCTGCGAAAAACACCTGTATGGCTCTTATTAATTAGTAAACTTAAAAACCCGAATGTTATGGGTTTTAATGAAAACATCGATTCGAGTTTTTTTTTTCTTTTTTCAGAGTATTGAAACCTCATATCACTTACTTGAGGAGGTTTGAACCGCGAATCGACTTCTTTAACTTGTTAAGTATAGTATTTATTCGGGCCTTTTTTTCAGCTCTGAACAATAATGAATTTTATCAATTCGCAATATACATTTTTTTGTCTCTCAAAGCCTGTCTGCGAAAACATTTTTTTTGGCTGATCCTAGTTTCTACGGGTTGAAACGATGGAAGAATAACTATCCATTTTGTACTGTTTTGGTTTCCTAGAAACGTCTTTTCCTGTTATGAGTGCATTGGTAAATATTGTCGCGACATTTGCGAAAAGTCAGAGACATATTCATCGCTGTTTTTCATGGATATTACACTCGCAAACTTCTACATTTTTGAATGATTTGAGCTGTTTCTGTACACTCTTTTTGAATATTCATGGTTTTTGAAACTTATAAGATTTAAGGGAAGGAGTAGGTTTCTGGATTTCAGCCTGTCATGATCGTTTCTAAGCAACAATGTATACAAAATAAATTTAAAATTCATTTCGCTATCTGAGTGGTTTGAATCCATACAATCTTTCCCCTCGAGACAACGAAATTGGTTTCAAGACGGGATTGCATAACGCCCGCATTTTCGAAAAGTCACGACATTTGACTGGCTATATTCGCGCCGATCTGACAAGTATCTGGTTTTGTTTCCTGAAAAGTTAGTCATCAACGACATTGCACATGATATTTGACAGTTTTCGTCACACGATTGTTAAGTGACATCTCGAGAAGAACTGCTCGAGGTATAGAGCGTCCTTTGCTTATTGAATCTTACCAAAGATTTGGTAAATATGAGGCAATAGCTTTCGTTTTTCTGGTGTCCATTTCGAACGCCGATTGTTTGGAATGTTTTCCCGCTTCTGTACGTCATTCTCCCGCCAAATGTTACGGTAAACCATGGAACTCCATCTTGAGTAACTCTCTAATGTCTTGTGGCAAACATGATTGCTCATAAAATCCTCTCGACATTATCCTTGGTTTTCGCTAGCTATGGCAAAATAAGTTACCTATGTGGCGAAATGAATAGATTGCGTTCAGCCTTGGGCGAAAATTCCACATAAAAATCGAGATCAACGAGCGTATTTTAATATGGGATGTGGTGTATCGGTGGAAAATGGAGATGATTTGAGCGTAGCATTGGGAAAATCGGAAAAAGGTGAGTTAAATTTGCTTACGAATATTTTTTCTTATCATTTAACACTGGCGCATTTACAACAAAGTTAAGACAGAGTTGTGTGATCTTCGTGAAGAGATAAGCTTGATCAACATTACGCGAAAATTGTATCGCTACAGTGTAGCAGTATGTGATCTAACTTATACTTTTCAGACGGTTTTCCTAACAAATATTGCTTCATGTGTGTCACGCAGTGCTGTGGATATTTGAATCCGCATTATTTTATTACAATGACTTGCAGGATTAAGACAGCATTCTCAATATAATGGTTTTATTTACATTCCTTCTCCCTTTTTACGTTTTTTTTTTCTCCAATTTCTATCTCCATAGTGGATTTTTTATTTTGCTTTCAGCCATACGTTCGGCGATCTTAATTCAGAAATGGTTCAGACGATATCAGGCTCGCATCGAAGCCCGACGAAGGTGTACTTGGAAGATTTTCCAAAGCGTCGAATATGCTGGTGAACAAGATCAGTTGAAGGTATAAGTCTGTCAAGTTTAAAATTTTATGAACGATCTGAAACCATTGCGATCGATTAGCCAAAGATTATTCGCAATTTTTTCATGCCTTTCCATCAAATCAAGTTAGTATTTGGCGATGAAAACATTCTCTTAAGTTCTATATCACCACAAACAAATTCTCGCTTACGTTCAAACTTCGCCACCTCGACATAAATTTTTCATTTGATGTTCATTCAGAGTTCCTCCCTCAAGGTGGTAAATTGAGACCGTGGTTTTTATTTACTTAGCGCTTTGCCAATTTGATATGACCATTAATAATCGCTGCATTTTAAGTTGTTAATAATTTAGTGAACTATTTTTTCAGCTGTTTGAAGTGCGACAGACAAATGGGGTACATTAGTGAGAATGCTTAGTTTTAAATTTTAAAAAAGTCTGAGCCACTAAAGAATAATCTGAATGATTGCTTTTGATGCGTTTTATATTTCAAATTATACGTGATTGTATAAAGAACTCGTCTAAATACTTTGGAAATTGAAAATGCTGAGATCTTTGCAATAGTAGGAAATGGACTCAATTAGAAACTCATGTTGATTTCCATAGTTTATTGAGTCATTACGATTTTAAATGGTTTTCTTGAGGGCTTCGATTATTTTTACTCTCAATAAATGGTTTCAGCAAAAGAAGTGCTTGAATTTTTATAGGGGCAAGTAAACAGAGATGGTCGTTTTAAGGCTTCTGCAAAGAAAAAAATTTCTTATACTATTTACTGAAGTCATAAATTCACATCAAGTTAAGGAAAAAGGGATTTTAGGGAGGCCTTTTTTTACATGGGCTGAGTTGATTTGTAGCCCAAGTTGAATAACTGAAGAGAATTGTTATAATATCCCCTTTACATGAACTCAGATTACCAGTCTGCACTAGCATATGGTCTACTTTAAGATGGAGCTGAGTCAATCTTTCTGCCAACACAAAACCTGGCAGTATTGGGTACAGGGTACCAAAAACACATCCACTTTAAAGAAAAACAAACAAAGTAGACTGAAACAGTTCATTTGGTAAAAATTTCAACCTGATTATTAAGTGTCTACATTAAGAAAAGAAAAAGTAAAAAGAATTTCATCCCTTCTCTCTGTGTTAATACAGCTCTCAACCAGGGTTATGCAACAAGCAGGGCTAGCTCACCTTTAGTATCTTTTTCATGTAGATGCTTACAAACATTTGACCTCCCAGCCTAACCAGCCTCCCAACCCCTCCCAGGGTTATGCAACAAGCAGGGCTAGCTCAGCTTTAGTATTTTTTCATGTAAATGCTTACAAACATTTGACCTCAAAAGGGTTACCCATCACAGTGATTTCACTGAGGTTAAAAAGCAACCTGGGGTTGATATAGTGGTGCTAAGCAGGGTAGGTATTTTTTAATGTTATCTACTGAAAAGAGTGGTCTATCCAAGGGGAATTTTACTCCTCCATGACATTGGAAGTTTGAAAAACACTCCCAAGAGATTTGTCGGCATGGCACAAATATAATTAATTTCCAGCCCAAGAGGTAGGAATTCTAAATATGAAAATTAATAGAGATTGGGAATTTTTCCTTCCCAAAATATCATATATTTAGTAGTTAATTCTCCTTGCTGTCTGCCATACAATTCTTATAATGTTAGTATAGAGAATTTGGCATTGGATTTGCAAAAAAAATTAGCCTTACTTACTTACTTCCTAAGGAGATGATTTGGAGTGGTTAGGAGAGGGGTGAGGAATAAAATTACATTTCCTGAGTGGGAGAATGCACTGAATAGGCCATTTTACAGTTGTAATTAGTTGCCAAGCCTTTGATTTAGATTGAGGCTGAAGTTGAGACCAGTATCTAGTTAACATGACAACAAAGTAATTTAAATTTAAAAAGCAGCAAGATTTGTATCATAACAAGGTCACCCCCAGCCTCACTCCTGTGAAAAGACATGGCAACCAAGAACGCAACTGTAAAATGGACTTTAAGACCATCAGAGTTAACACTGGTTAAGGCTTTCATTTTAACTTTTAACATATATGCTATTTGTTTTATTTCTCAGCTATTCAACTTCTTTTATGACATGCTGAACCATGTTGCTGATGGTAAGTTTCATCTAATTTGTTTCATCCAGGAAACCTTTTTTGTGCAGAAGTTCTAATTTAAGTTGTTTTTAAAATAGTCTTACATTGTATTCTGTGCCCCTTTAGATAGCTATAACCAATATTTTTGCCGATAAAAACAATTATTATGGATAATTTCCTCATTAATGTAGAAGTACTCTGAATTTTTGCATTGGAATTTGCGGTGAATTTGATTGTGTGTCAATGTATTTGTTTTATAGGTGAAAATAATGCTGTGGATATTTTACGCAAGGGTTCAGCAAGTGAGTGGGTGTTATGTTCTTGTGCTGAGAGTAATATTCAAAATGGAAGAAGTAGCTAAATGGTTTATCTCATAGTCACTATTGTCATTAGAGGAGTTGCATACGCTGTCAGAATTCTAAGTGTCTAAAGAGGGGGACCAACCCAAACTACAAAGGCAAAAATGAGTTTATATATATGTTGAGTGAACCACCAGAATTTGTAACCTTCTTAGTTACAAATTCCTATTTGGAATATAGGGATTGCCATTCACCCTTTAACCAACAAGAGTGACTTACATCTAATTTCTCCTTACAATCACACCATTGGATCAAACATCAAGGTCATGAGAATAAAGGACATGATCACCAATTAGTGCAGTTCTTGATTGTTACACAAATTCTCCTTGTCAGCACCTTTGGAAATCTATAGAGAACAGTAAAGAGAATATGCTTACTGATGTTAGAGTGCAGAGGGTTAAGACAAGGAAAACTGTTCTTGATAATGAGGTGCTCTATTAACCTGCTTTTATTAGTCCTCTTGCAATTATTCCTGGACAACATTTTTGGTAGTGCAGATATTTTGAGGCCTTGGCTGTTAAGCATGACTTTGGTTATTAATGATCATCATAATTTTTTTTCTATCTTGTTGTCAACTCAGGTAGTTCTACATCCATAGCATCAAAGACATCAGAGAAATTAGAGATGCTCACTGATCCATCAAAGATAACAGTTGACGAAACTTACAGGGGACCTCATGTTGCACTGCCACTTACACTTCTCACTGTTCACAAAATCATTGAGCACTTTAAGTCTCGCAAGGTTGGTACAACACCACTGAAAACTAAATAGACTGTCTTAACTCTAAACCTCAACTCTTGATTCCCAAGAATCAATAATTAAGCTATAATGTGCAAGGTTCAAGTTTGAATTTTTCTTGAATTAGGTGTTGAGAATTAGGCATTAAGTTTCAAGATGTTTAAAGAACTTTTTGAGGATCTTGATCTAAATTTTTCAGGGGGCAATTTAATTCTCTGTATCGAAACCAATATCTATCATTTTTACCTCAGAAATCTTTGTCTTGTTGAGACTGGTCTCTCTGGTTTTAAATGAGCCACCTTCAATTTCTTATTGTCCTTTGGGTTTTTGACAGCTCCTTCATGTTAAGTATGTCCTCCTCATTCTTCGAGAGACAAGGGAAAAGCTCAAGGTATTACCAAACATCTACAGGGCTTCCACAAGCATCTCCAAACAGATAACCATATGTGGTGAGAAAAATGAACAATAGATTACAGTGCAGTCAACAACTTCAACTTCAACTTACAATAAATTGAATTCAGTTTGTTGAGGCACATCAGCTATGATTGGTATTTTGGACTCTGAATAAGGGATTAAACCCTAAAGGGATTAGAATGTTGCTTCCTAGTTTAACAAGCCACTCATCAGAATGGACTGTTTTCTTGTTGTAAGGACCAAGGGATCCAAATTTCTCAGATGTAAATTTCCCCAAGTTTATTGCTGCAGAAGTTGTTACTTCAATTGAATATGCTTTGCAATAGCGTGCAATTAACAATGTTTGTATCAATAACACAACAACCAAACAACTGCTATTACACAGAACATTCCAAGTCATGGGAGTCACATGATCTAAAGGGTAGGGAAAAACTGGTGATCAGGGAACCCATCTAACACTTGTTACTTACCTCATATCTCCCAGAAAGGGCTGTAGTTCCTGATCAGCCTCCCCCCTCCTTTCCCACATCTCCCTTCTCCTTCCGCTATGACGTAGATGCTCTGGTGAAATTAATGGAGGTTTATATGTAGTGATACATATGTATCAAATGCTGTTTCTCTAAAGGGTGTGCTATTTTGCTCTCTGGCTCTGATCTGGGTTAGAAAGAAATATAAAGTTAAAAATGAATGCTATTCTGACTTTCAACAGGTGACCTCCATGGGAAACTGGATGATCTGTTTGTGATTTTTCACAAGGCAAGCGCTGCAAACTGTTATTCACTCTTTTGTAAAATAAGATTTAATAAAAAAGAACTAAATTAGATTTTAGTAGTGGCTCTTCCACAAAGATAGGGGGTGTGGTGGTGGGAGAGGTGGAGGAACTTGGAGACAAGCTTATTGCAAGGATGAGAGCCAACAACAAACTGACCACATGTGACTTCAGGTCCATGAATTGAACCCTTGTAGCAACAGGGGGAGGCAGGCACTTTACCATGGTGACTGCACCATCCTTGCTCTCCAGCCAGGGATCCATTCACAGTTCATCCAAACATGTTATGTTCCCTTTTGACCACCCTTCTTTATCCTCCTGTCTGTGTGATCAATAACTCTGCTATTAGTTCATTTGGCAATAGACTGCACACGGGATGTTTGGAAGAACATGAGGAAAGTTTGTAAATCATTCACCTCTGGCTTGTGAAAAATCACACATCCTTTTCAAATGTTTCTCATGTTCTCCCAACATTCTGTGTTTACACTGGTAATCAAACCAATAGAAAGTGTGTTCTATGTGGAATCCAATGTGGATTACAATGTTTTGATTCCATTCTGCTGGTCTTCTTGTGGCAGTAAGATTGACTGGTTGTGCATTACTTAGGGAGGCGCTCCTTTGTGACTAATTGGCTTTGAGCACCTGTGATGATGTGTACTCTTAGCACTGTTCTGTCAGACTGCTCTAACAGATTTCTTACGGAATGTTTGGTTGCCAGGAATCAGTTTGCCATTTACACTCACTTAAATCCATGTTCATGAATTTTGTCCTTGAATATTTATTTATGCTCTTATTTTTTGGTATAGAATGGTCTTCCTTCTGCTGAAAATCCTTACATCTTTAATGGTGACCTTGTGGATAGAGGTCCTTACTCCATTGAAATTGCCATCATTTTATTTTCATTTTTCCTGCTTTATCCCACTGGTGTTTACATTAATCGTGGTAATCATGAGGATCATATAATGAATCTCAGGTATGTGGACAGGGCATGTGTGCTAGAAGTTACATGTAAAGAAGCTTAAATTGCCTGGGGAGTGAGCTTTTGGAGACACAGTGGTATAACAGTTAGCATGTCAGACTCTGGGTCAAGAAGTCTGGTTCAAGCCCTTGTGTTGTGTTCTTGGGAAAGACACTTTTTAAAGTCTCTCAACCAAGGATATAAATGGGTACCAGGCAAGTCTTAGGGAAACCTGTTGAAGCGCTGGTACTAACTTGCAATGGACTATAATGAGTTGCAAAAGTGGTTGGCACACCTCCCTCTAAGAAGGTGATCAACAACCCTACACTGTAGGACTGTATAAGGACTTAATTTGCTCTAACTTTTATATTAAATTTGATATAATTAGTTATATAGCTGATAAGCTTATAACAGTTGGTAAGGTAAGATGGCAGGCTTCTTCACAAAGTGACAGCTGTTTTCTCCAAAAGGTGCACTATTTTTTATTATAGTTATTTCTAAATTTCAATAGATACGGATTTGTCAAAGAAGTAATGGACAAGTACAAGGTAACTTGCTCAGGCATTGTGGAAATTATATTTTGAATTCATAGTCATACACTACAGAGACTGGACTAAATTCCACTAGTTATGGCAGCTGGGAAAATGGTTGGTGAAGCTGAAAAATTCAGGCCTTAATGGGATTCAAACCTTTGCCTCCCTGATACTAGTTGGGAGCTACTAACACTGGAGTTACAAAGTTACATGTTGGGAACAAGGCAAATTTGAGAGGGTTCTCCCTTGTAAAGAAATCTTTTTTTCAGTCTCTGGAGCTTACAAGTGGCTGCCTTCTTTATCATCAAATAATTACTAAAATTGCAGTTTACTTCTCAATCAGTTTTGCTTTGACCCATTAAGTATCACTAATGTTGTCTTGGCAGGAACATTCTTCAAAAGTCATGAGGTTGTTTGGAGATATCTTTGGGTGGCTTCCCTTAGCCACAGTGGTGAACAACAAAATTCTTGTCACTCATGGAGGAATATCTAATATTACAGATTTGTCACGCATTGAGAAAATTGACCGTCACAAGGTTTGTACCCAGTTCTCTGTTCTATCTGTTTCTCATCAATCAATGTGAAAGGTTATTTCAGACTGTTAGTTACATATTTGTTGATGAACACCCACAGAGGGTTTAGTATTCATAGTCTAGAGACAGAATAAAAGCAATTATTTGTCTAATGCTATCACAGTAGTTAAGTATCCTCAACTCCAAGAAAGGTTTTCTTTCTTGGAGTACATAGCATTTGCTATGTACACTCCAAGGAAACTCAGAAAGCACATAAAAGTACCTCTAGGCCTATTTTTGTACACGTTAAACATTTTATTTATTAAATTGACACTTTGCTGTTGCCATCATGGTTGCATAAGGTCACTAATAATTCTGGCTGTGGCACTGGTGGTGATCATAGCCAAAATGGTTTTGGTCAGTGGCAATGAGCAGAATGTCAAAAAGAGTGGCATTGGTAGAAGTGACTTCTGTACAATAATGACAGCATGTATTGATGATAAAAAAAAAATAATGAACATTGATCTTCTGTAAACTCTAATTTGTATAATCTTCTTATGATCAGTATGTGTCAATACTCAAGCCCCCGGGCATGGACAAAACACAACCAGATACTGTTGATCTAATGGAGTGGAGACAGGTAACTTTTCCTCTTCTTTAGGTTACACTAAAAAAGATTTATTTGCCACACCTTTCATGAGAGCAGTATGGTTAATAAACTTATTAACTTGAATCTGTAACTCAGATTATCACCGTCTTTTTGTCCTTTACTTCTGTCAAGTTAGCCCATCTGAACAATACTAAGTGCAGCTTATTTTAACTGGGACCAGGTTTTGGTCACGTTGCTCCACCCTCTGCTGATGAAATTATGTTGAAATTTCTGGCCGCTGTGTATTTTGAGAGTATTCTCACTTATAAGGCATTCTTTTAGTTTAGTTTCAATCTCTGCAGTTCCTTGTTATGCAAAAGAATTGATTATATAATTATGGTTTTTACCTGAAGGTGTTGGATCTGCTGTGGAGTGACCCCAAACCCCTCCCTGGTTGTAAACCAAACACTTTTAGAGGAGGGGGCTGTTACTTTGGTCCAGACATCACAGATCGCATCCTGAAGAAACATGATTTGGAGCTTCTTGTGCGTTCTCATGAATGTAAATTTGAAGGATATGAATATATGCATGGTGGAAAGGTATTGCATACATTAGATAAAATATATCATAAATACCTGAAATGCCTTCCTCTGGTTTGAGATTTTTGAAAAAAAAAAAAATGCACCTGTCTTAAGGCTTGCAGTCAAAAGAAAAGTAAGCATATTTTATAGCCAGAGGAAGCTTTCTTATATGCTTAACTACAATTTTTAGTCCTGTCTCTCTTCTATCTTCTTGGATGAAAATGCTTTCCTCATTGTAAGCCAGCGAGTTATAATGTGTTAAACAGATAGCTTACAGGCTATCATTGTGAACTTTTGGTCAGCACATGTTCTCTTGCGTAAAACACTTGTCTGAATTTTCACAGCACCTCCCAGAAGTGGACATGGCTTTAAGCAAACTGTTAGGAAAATTCTTTATTAATGGAGTGTAATCGTTTGTCTCACTATGAAGACACTTCCATTGTGGATAATTTGCAATGTTTCCATTTCAAACACCAAGTCTTCAGGCAATAAGGTCAACAGAATATGTGTCACCTTGTAAAGGGTTACTCCTAGCTGTGGTTGGCTGGTATAGCTTTGATTGGCACACTTCAAATATAATATATTCCCTCCACAGTCTCGTGTCACATGGCTCGCCTGCTGTTGTGTTGTTTGATGAAAAAGGGAAAATATTTGTATTTTTGGGCAGGAGGGGGAAGAGGGGGCTTCCAATGCTAAGCTTCCTATCCAATACTAGTCATCACTTGTAAGAAAACTAAGATAAGTTGTTGTGGTTATAAGCATCTATGTTACTCCTAAGATTGAAATATTTTTTGTAGGTCATAACAATATTCTCAGCATCAGATTACTATGAGCAGGGAAGCAACAGGGGTGCATATATGAAGATTGGACCTGATATGAAACCTTACTTTGTTCAGTATCAAGCTTCCAAAGCTAAGAAGCATCTCACCCTGAAACAAAGGTCAGTACCAATGATTGTAATCATTGTTCTTGCGGGAAAAAGAGGCAGGCAATTTCTTTAGCAACTATTAACTCTCTCTGGTATTGTGTCAAATACCCAAAATTAGCACCTGGAGTGATTATTTCAAATGTTTTGGTTGGGAAAGGCAGAGCCTAGTTGAGGAGAAGCACTTATTCACTTCTTCTCACATCACAGGAGATGGTTTTGTTTATTGTTCCACTACTATACCATTTTACTGTTAATATTAGGGTAACAGAATGTGCAAAATACGCTTCTGTACAACCGGGTACATCATCAAATTGCCTCTTTTTATTTCCAGGATTGGAATAGTAGAAGAGTCTGCAATACGAGAATTAAAGGAAAGGCTTTATGCTAACAAGATAGCTTTAATGGCTGCCTTTGAAGAAACAGACAAGGAAAAAACAGGTGAGTTAAAAACTGAGATCAGGGAGCATGAATAAAAGCTTCAGTGAACTTCCTCCTCATCTCACCCCACCCCCAACAGACACATTATTCTTTTCCTTGGTTTATTAATAAAGGGCAAAATTACTGAGCGCTGATTGGTTGAGAGAGAGGGCATTTTTTCTTAATCGAGGGCATTTTTAGTAATCAAGAGAGGGCATGATTACCTTGTTCAGTTAAAAGCACTTTGTTGTTTTTCTGTTGGCAGAAACGCTCTGTTGAAATGAGCTTTGTTTTCTAGACTTTTGGCAGTATATCACAACAGTTTTGGAGAATAAAATTTCATTGAATCGATTGATCAGTTCAATTTGATTGATGATTTGCTGTAGCGCTAAACAGGCTTCCCAGATAAAAATAGACTGCGCGCGTGATTTTCCTTCGTATAAATTTTGCCCTTTATTGATAAACAAGTAATCCCATGAGACCTCGTACTATTAAGGATTAATTGCACTTGAGTTTTCAAAATTTTGGAAAATTTTGAATACTCTCATGCAATTAATCCTTAATAGTACTTGGCCTCATGTGATTACATATACAAAGCAACAAGGGAAATTTAGAGAGAACATTATGGAGAATGTGTATAATGATGTTAGGGTGTGAAGGGTTAATAATATTCTCTAAAAGTGATATTGGGTGATTTTGAGCATTGCCTTGATATAAGACATAATTGGGTCATTTCCTTTTAGGATATTTGACTGCAACTCAGTGGGCAAGTGCTGTAGAGAGTGTGCTGAAATTAGACGTACCATGGAACATGTTGAGACATCAGCTTGCCCATGTTCTGCCAGATGGAAAAGTGGATTACCATTCATGCTTTGATCAGTATATCATTGAGACAGGACTACACAAGGTAACTAGTTTTGAATTTTTAAGCTGAAATGATTTGAAGGATAATGAATGAAAGGTACTAAGGGTTTTTATATCATTGAAAACTTGACTGGAACAGTGGATATCTTTCTTGAAAGTGGCAAATATCATAGTTCCAGAGAAATTTCCTTCTTATGGACTGAGTCATCTTACAGGATGGTGCTGTCTTCCAGCCCTGTTGACACAAAGGCTTACAGCCCTCACACCAGGATTATTGTCTACCATTTCTTAATAGAAATGTGCACATAACTATACTTGCCATGCCAAGGTTTCCAACATGCATGTGGTTCTTTATTTATCTATTGTCAACTTTTCTGGTATAGAATGGCCCAAGCATCACTGAGACGCTCTACAGACATAGGTCAAATTTGGAAACAATTTTCCGCTTAATGGATAAAGACAATTCAGGTATACTAAATGTAGAAAGACTCTGTTATATCTACTTGTCATGAGGTGAAATGGGGTTAATCATTGTGAGGAACAGCATCCTATTACTGACTATTGGTTTACTGTTGGCTGAAAGATTACACACAGGTTACCCACATGTTTGACATAGGTTACCACAGGGTTCCTTCCCACTGCCTTCCCCACCTTTAAGTTTATACTGTCAGGGCAAACCATTTTTTCCTCATTTTCTTCAACAGGGTACGTTTCAATGGAAGAATTTGAGGAGTCTTGTCGTCTTCTTAATGAGCATACTAACTCCAATATCCCAGTTGACTCCATTGAAGATTTGGCAAAAAGTATAGACATGGACAAAGATGGCCACATTGACTTCAATGAATTCCTGGAAGCATTTAGACTTGTGGATCATTCCAACTCTAACCACTTGTCTTTCAAAGAGCAGTCTCCAGTCAATTCAATACACATTGTTTCATAAAACATTCAGCAACCACATGAGAGTTTCATGAACAGTAAGTGAACAAGTAAATTTAAAAAAATGTGCGGCAAAGAATTTTCTTCATTTTGGTGTTAATTAGATGTACATAACCATGCATACCTGTACATATTTATATCCATACTTGAAGTGTTCACATTTTATTATTTATTATTCTTGTACATACCAAATCATTGTTTTTACAAGCAAAGAAAATTTTTTAATAGTACAACTGTATGGATTTATTGCAAACTAATGGCTTGAAAGAAAAACTCCAAGTCATTCCTCAACATCCTCCTAGCATAGCAAAGCAAATGACAGGAAGAGAAAATTTGAGTGTTAACCCTTTAAACCCTCAGAGCAACCAGCACCTAATTTCTTCTCACAGTAGTAAAACTGAATCTTTCATTAAGATCATAAGAATAAAGGAAATGATTGCCATCCCAAGAGGCTTTGATTTTAAGTGATTCTCCTTATCAGTAGCAAAGGAAACGTATCAAGAAATAGTACAGAGAATATGGATACTGATGATAGGTTGTAAAGGGTTAGGGCTCTTAAGTTGCTGCCATACTGTATATGGGGGGTAACACATAGTTGATTATCAACTAAAAGCTGGTTATGGTAGAAAAACTAAACCTTTGGTCTGATGAAGGGGTAATGCTGAAAACATCAGCCTTCCAAATACTCCACAGTGCTTAGTTCATGGTCATGCATGGTTTTACGCTAATAACCATAGGACTGGTGTAGAACATTTCATGGGACTCTAATAAGTTTGTGTTTGAGTTGGTGTTTTTAGCAGGCAATACCAATGCTTTCAATTCATTTGGTAATTTGACAATGGTTAAAAATGTTGTTTCAAAATCTTTATGAAAGATTGGCTCCTCTATTAACATATGTTTTTTGGGAGGTGATGAGTAAACCTCAGCATTACAAATGATCAAACCACTTTTGATTAATTTATGCCAAGCATGACAGAGAATTTAAAAGGAAATTTTGAAAAAAAAATTTAAATAATGAATCAATACACTTAACTGTAATAAGAGGTTAAACTAACTGGCCAAGATGTGTGTGCCAGTATTGGAGTGGTACACCATTTAGAAATGAGCTAACATGCATTGCAGCCTCTTCAGTTTCTTTTATAAGCTAAGCAAGAGAAACATGAACTGAGTGGGAGCTGCAGAAAGGCATGGGGTGATCTTATACCCAGATCCTACCATGTAACTATAACTGAAATGTAGGACAATGGCTTGGTCATGGAAGGTCTGGGTACAAGAGTAAGTATAGAGCTCAAGGGAGCAAAACACAAAAGGAAATAGAAAATACTGCTAGGCAGGACATTGATTAATAAATTAATTCCATTGCTGTAATAGGTAATACTATTGTTCCTACACTTTTGGCTAGTTCCCTAAGATCAAATGTGCATGGTCTAGCACTGGTTAAAGAGTTATAACAGGATTGAAATATTAAGTGTCTGAACAGATTCAGAGAAATAAACTTTTTCCATGCACAAGTTGTTGATCTGAGTGGGCCATTCAGTCCTCTTGTAAGGTTTTTCATGATGGTTGCATGAAGTGACCTGGAGTATACTGTTACCTCCTCTGGATAAGATGTCAGTCAAACAAAAAAAGTTTTATTACAAGGCCATCTCTACAAAAGTTTTGTATATTCTGTTACAATTTGGTCACTGTTCATTTTGATTAACACTTAAAGAGAACAACTTCTAATTATTTGCAATTTTTCTCTACCCTTGTTTAAGTTGCTAAAGCACATAATTATATTACATAAAAACATTGCTGTTACACAGCATAAAACTTTGAAGAAGTAACAATTTCTTGGCAAACCACAAAGAAAACAGCCAAATGTTCAACTAACATGGCTACAGATTTACAAGGATTGCATGTGCAAGCATTGCTCATGAAAGAGCAGATCAAGGGGCAGAAGGGATCTTGAATGCACAACTTCTTGCTTGCACATGTTAGTTGTTATCACTTGCCATTCTTTTCTCAAGTGCTTAGTACAAAGGCTAGCTAACAAAAGCTACATTTTTCAAACTGTTACACTTTCTCCAGTTTAAATTGTTCACAATAATCAAGAACATATCTGCGTATATTATTGTGCTTTCACATGTTGGGAATTGTCCTAGACATGCATGATTTTAACCCTTTAAACCCTAAACAAGTGACCAGCATTTCATTTCTCCTTACATTAACACTGCTGAACCATTCACTAAGATCATGAGAGTAAAAGAAATGTTTGCCAACCTACAAAGCTTTGACCGTCAAATGAATTCTCCTTGTCAAAACCAAAAGAAACATAGGGAAGAGTTTGGAGAATATAGATAATGATGTTAGGGTGTAAAGGGTTAACAAAAAGGACTATGATAGGCTATGTGAAACCCACAACAAAATCTTAAAAAATAATTTTTATGAAAGAATATTAATAATATTTGATCAAAATGTTTAATAATTATTTTATTTCTGAAATCCATGTCATGCTTCAAATTTCTTGTTGATTCCAAAGTTTTCAAACCAAAACAAGAACAAAACAAAAGAAAGCTTTAACCAGTTATATTAAAAACGTATGTGATTACAAAAATTATCTATAATATTTCGGTATAAAAATTTCCACGCCCACCCAACAGGGGGACAATGAAAGGGGCTGGCATAAAAGCCAAAAGGTACATATGAAATTTCCTAAGGGAATAGATACTTGGATAAGATGATACTGTCAGCCAAATAGCAATGGATACTCTCAGAAATAACAATATTCAATAACAGCAATTCAATTACAGCATTGTGTTTTCATTTGGATAGCTATCAAGTTTCCCTTAGTAGTCATGAGCTCATTTTTGGAGGCTCCTCCACAAAAACCTTGTAAAGGGTTCAAGTGAAATTATGTTCTTAAAAGTTTACTTTCGGATTTTTGCTAACATTGAAGCTTTCCACAAAGTTTTTGTTATTGTTGAAATAAATGTATTGAAGAAAGCTGTTTTCCTCAAACTGATAACAATTTCCAGGGAAAACTTGTTCACTAGTGAAACTGTGGGTTTAGAGAAAAAAATTCTTAAGACAAGTTAAAACAAGGCAGGAGGTCTCTCCTGCAGCCAACTCTTGAGTGACTATGCTTTTCCTTGAGAAAAGTTTCAAAGGTTAACTCATGTTTTCCTAGGCTTCTTGGTGTGGATGAATCCTAGTATTAATTACCTCTAAAGCTAGTATGACGGTTATTTTGTGTGTTTTTATGGCAACCCAAAATAGGCAAAGCAATGATACGTGACATGTCCATACTTAACGTCCAAGTTGCGATGTACATTGACAGTTGGCTTCATCAAGCCTCTGTCTTCCAATGCATTTAGGTTCATTACGGCATACACATTTGCACTCTTCAATGCTCCATTTATGAAGAGGATTAGAACACTCCTGCTCAGCCTTGTTGCAGACACAACCACACTTTTCTTTGACGTACTAAACATTAGAAGATTGCAGTAATTAATGCTGAAGTTCTAAACAATCATTATTCATTCCCACATCATTGGACTTCAACATTTTTTTTTCAAGAGGTGGCCTTTTCTTAGTCTTAAAGTTCTATTTATATAATAAATATGCCCATCAGACCAACTAAACCACAATTAACTATAGACAATTTCTGGAAATCAGAAACAAATAGCAGTTATGTAAACACACAACTGCTCCTCAGGTTTGCATAACTCTTTCTCATAACCTTCTCCAAGTGTTCATAAGATTAGGATGAGCTTATTTCTCAGAAAGCATGACTTCAAATTGTGTTTAATAATCTCATCTAAACATATCCATCAACAAATGATAGCATACAAAAATTTGTGACCCTGACAATGACTTTACCTTATAGGGTTTCTGACAATCCACCTCTGATTCCTGGTATGCAGGCTTGCAATCACAACTGCATGTGTTGCTATTCCACACTTGTTTCTTTTTATCGCAAGAATCAGCCGTCTTGATACACTCACAGCCACATTTAACATGCTCTTCCATCATTGTAGTAACAAGGGTGTAAGTGATATCTAAAGGAGAAGATAGCTTGCTTAATAGAAACTTGATAATAGTCAAACTACTTGAAACAAAACATTCTGAATTTCCTCTCTGGAGACAAAAATTTCTTTAAAAATAATTATTATTTATAAAACAAACTGCAGTTTATTAGATGAGAAATTAAAAAAGAGTGTAAAGGGTTAATAATGCAAATGGTTCAATGCATGGGTTGCAAATGACAAAGCAATGCTCATTGCCATGTTGATTAGCAGTTTCTTTTTTGGAGATGTAAGTTTTGTTTTGTTTCTGCATGGAAGGAAATTCAGAAAGAATGCATACTCAGGTATTTATTCAGAGAATGGTGAGCAAACTATTGAAAAAAGGTTCCAAACCATGTTATCCACTAAAACTAACCGTAAAGAGGAAAAATTCATTGATTTAAAATGAAATGACAGATCGCATTTACCCCAAGCTTTCAATTTATTCTCATTGGTTGCCCACTCCAGTATCTACAGTATCATAGTTAATGGTCAGACCAAATATTTTGTGGGTTTAAATTTAGACAGATTGCACATAATTCCAAAAATCAGTTCCAGCAGAAAAAATTCTGCAAATCCATATAACTCTGCAAAAAGCTTCCTCTCTTAGTCAGAAAAGAGCCTTGCCTATCAGTTCCCAGCAAAGACTTTGATCATCTCAGATACCAAAAAAATCTTCCCAGCCAAAATCAAAAAGATAACTAATCCACAAAATATTGTGAAATATTCATGCCACACAACATAGGTATTTTTTGGTACAAATTGTGGTTGCCTAACTCCTTTATGGAGTCAGACCACATTGGACACACAAAATTACATACCCTGAGGCTTTCCAGATGGCATAAAGATATTGAAATGTTGCACTGGTGTCATTTTTTTTTCGAGAGGCTTGCAGGTCAAAAGATTCCTTGCGAAGCAGCAACCAGTACAACGATTTAGCAATACACAAGGAGGAAATATTTGTAAACCAAAATGTGGTGCAGGAAGGCTGACTAAGGTGGGGCGAACTTCACAATTCCACACTGATCCATCAGTATTGACTGTTACCAAAAAGAAAAGATATAAATATTAATAAGTAATCAATGAATTTGAGCACTTAAATCTTGAATGTGAACTCTAAGTGTTTGTCCATCTTATGTTTTGCCAGTATCTCTCTCTGTATACCTATGGAGCCACCCTTTTTTTCTCCCAAAGTTTCACCAATTTCCTCACTTGCTAAGATGACAAAATCATCATGGTAGCTAAATGGCAATATCAAACAAATTTATAGAATTAATTTTAATCTTACATATATGCAGTTTCAGCTTTTTTAAGGGCAGTAAATCCTTGTAAAACACTGCACTTTATAGAATAAGAAATTTTTCCAAACTGAGGCAATTTCCTCTAACTTAATGTCAGAGGCTGAAATAATTAGGCACTCCTGCATTAATGCTCTTGAAATGACTGTTTTAAAACTGTCTTTTATAAAAGAATCCTGTCATTATCTGAATATATTTACAATATTTTACATCCACTTGTGGTGGCTAAGTATAGAGAAGATTACAAAGAACATGAATACTGATATTAGCATGTAGAGGATTGATAAAGGCATTGGATACATAGCAGTGGTGTCCAGGATTTAGCTCAGGGTAAGGGTAAATGGAATCATGCCATCAAGAGTTTGGGAAAAGCTTCAATCAGCTATAATTGGCAACAAAACTGTTGACACATTGCCACCTCCAATCCCATTAAATGACGTTTTTATCCCTTTTCCCTTGCTACCATATCATTTTTTTTATAAGAAATTTATATCTATGCCTAATCAGTGGAGGTGAATAATTGTTTTAATACATATTGCACAAATAACAAAAAATATTAGTTTATTTCTTTCAAATACCAACAAATGGTTGGAAATTAAACTCTGGATGCCCAGTTTTATCTCATTGGCTGCTCAGAAGTGAATAATACTTGCTATTCACTTCCAAACTAGCCAATCAGTGCAAAAAGTACTATTCACTTGTGTTGTATATACTAATTGTTTCAACTGGCATTTACTAATACACTTGCAGTGAGATAATGTAGCAAAAAAAGATGATTTTAACTCATTTGATTATAATATTTTTGAGAGCAAATCCCACCCAAGCTGCTTGGAAGTCAATATCATAGGATATTTGAAGTTTGAGTAGCCAATCAGAGCATGCCTTCAACACCGTCCACTGTTTTAGTATATACTAATTAAATTTGTCATCATGATGTCAAGTTGATGATAAATTTTATCCTTCACTTATTTGGTCTGATTGCTTATTGATGAAAGTCATTGTCACCATTAAAGGAGAAAATTGGTCTCCATTTGCCACCATGTAATATCCTGTTGCCAATTGCCACTTATTCCATACTGAATGATGCATGAAGTCATGCACAGAAGTTAAATGTTATTTACTTGGAATTGAAAGAGTTATAGGTGAATCTAACCTGCAGTTGAATGTTTGCCAGGAAGTCTACCATCAGGAAGGGATCCTATGAATCAATAAATTCAAAATCAATTAGTTTTCTTCAACATACACCATACATATATTTTACATTTATTACAATCTAAACTACAGCACATACCATATCACATGTTATAGGGCTAGCCTACCAACAGTCACTGGACTTTGCATCTTGTCATCATTATAAACCAGGGCCCAGTTGTGTAAAGGGTGGATAACACTATCCAAAAGATAAATTGCTATCCAGTGGATAAGTAATAGCAAAACGTATAGCGTTATATACCGGATAGAGATTTAACCAGAGGATAGCTTTATCCGATCATCGAACAACTGGGGCCAGTGCTACAGAAATTGGTTTCTAATTCACTTCAAATCTAAACACTTTCACATTTAAGGGCTTTCCGAGAGGAAACCTGTCCCTCTTTTTCTTACTGAAGTTTTTACCCTCTGGGTAAAGTAATTTACAAGGTTAAAAATGAAGTTAAAATTATGATTCATGTTAATTGACACAAGTCACAGATTTCCATTTAGCAGCTGCAAAGTTATCAGCTGGCTCATCCTCCAGCTACATGTATACCAAAGGCACATGGTCTGTAATTGCATTTTCCTTTGACTAAAACTCTGTTTGCACACCCTGACAAGCATTTTAATTTATTATTTTCATTTACCGTTGCGTGGGATCTTCTTGAAATAATCATAAAATGCCTTTGTTGAGTTGATTTTTCTCAATTCTGGAATGTTATAAACTGAGTTGATACCAACAGGTAAGACTTCAGCCTAAAAAAAAAGGGAAACTGCTGTCAAAAGCAATTTGACATCAATAGTGTATCACTTAGAAAATCCAGTACCAACTGTTTTCATTGTGAATCCCATTGACGCCTAAGAGTGACCAACATCTGATTTCTCCTTACAATAACACTGCTGAATTTTTCATTTATATCATGAGAATAAAGGAAATGATTGTCAACCCAAAAAGCTTTGATTGTTACATGTATTCTCCTTATAAACACCAAAGGATATGTATAGAGAAGAGTATGGAGAAAATGGATACTGATGTATTTATTTAAATATATTTAATCCCCATAAACTTTATTTCTCTCCCTTTTGCCTTGCTAGCTTCTCATTTTCTCCCCTTACCAATTGCTTGTAAGGAATTTTTTCACATATCATGTACCATTCTTTCCTGCCTTCCAACCCATCAGATCATTGTAAATCAAGGCATTGTTTGATTTTCAAAGCTTCAACAGGGGGAAGGGGGGAGGGGAAAGGGAACATGCACTGACCACATTGCATGTATGTGAAAAAGAGCCTCAACTAATTTGGAGACTAATTCAATCTCCTGCCTTTGGACCTTCAAGGTCGAATTTCATGAAAAAAGATGATGTTGCAAAACACAAAATGGTACATTCGTTTCTTGGGGTGGTTTACTTGAGAAAAAACATCCTTTTTGCCGAGATAACCTGCTGGCAATGACGAAGGCTGACAAGTTTCGCTTTCGAAGATTGCATTTCGTCATCGATCGACTTACCGTTGAAATATGCCACAAAAACGTCACACATTCCAATGAAAGAGTCAAATGTGATGAAAGAAGCTCTATCAAAATCTTGGCACAACAGAGTAAAGTGAATGCATCCGATTCCTAGATTTGATAACCCCTCTTTCATAAAAGTCCACTCTTTGGGCTCGAAGGCTTATCAGTGTCATCTCAATCTGTCATCACCTTTGCACACGCAATTAAACTCGCGAAAGCGCAAGATGAAACTCGCCAATTTCGTTATAAACCGGGTTGATAAACATCAGTTCACGCAGTACTATTTTGACTTAACTCCAGTTGTTATAAATGTGCAAGATACACTTTATATGTATTCAAAGGGCTAACCTGTGTAGTCGGAATGATTGTAGGGGTAAACTTCGTCGTTGGGGCGGGCTTCGGTCTTCTTCTGATGCGGCTCCGAAATCGATCTTTAAGGCTTCGTCTCCCTTCACAGAAAATCACAGCCACCAAAAGCACCCAGATCAGCGTGGTTTTCATGATACTTCTACTTAGTAATTGCTCTTCTTGTAAAATGCTGCTCACTGCTTGAACGCACTACGATGTTGATCGAAAATGAAACAGGTCACTATTTATATGTTTTGAAGCTGGCGGGGTTGAATTACCGGATATACGTCACGTGAACGTGAGGCTTTCCCAGCAGGCGCTTCCAGATAAGTTGACGAACGCAGTGACATTACGTGCTCATGACCTACAGTGCTCGGATTCTAGTGAAGATTGATTTCGTAATCAATGGCAAATTAATTTGGCAAACAACAGTTACCCTCGGGACTGGTGAACCTTCATAGGTCCCTCTAGAAATAACCGGAAGGTTACGCATTTGTGAAAGAATGTTCTCGACATCCTACGGAAAAGATCGCCCTCTTACTGTCTTTGCTGACATGTGGTTTTAGTGATACCTAAAAGAAAGAGGAAATCGTAATGCTTTTACAGGGAGAAAAAAAATGGCGCATTCAATTGAGTCGGCCTTTAAATTTATTACCCATTAAAACTAGTGACAAAGAGCTATTTATGTCTTTCTTTTTTCGCCTGCCGGAAAAATAAAGAAAAAAACGGATAACATGATGAGCACAGCTTTTTAAAAGGATTGTACTTTTAGGTTTAAGGAGTCTTTACCACAGAATGTTTGCGGTAAAGTTAGGTGTTTCCATGAAAATCATAGTGATAGAACAGTCACTTCCGCCCGTTCAGAAGACCACTTGCAGTTGCTGCGGCAACGACGAGGAAAATAGCGCGTAAAACATGAACACACATAATGCGGGATTTATTCTTCATACCCCTTTCTAATTAGAGAAATACCCTACATAACTACATCTAACCCTCCCCCCCCGCCCCACCCATGTATTCCATGTATTCCTTGCAACCAAACTCAAATTTTCCCTGCTAATCTCTGGGATAGGCCTGGCCCGATTGTGCTCGTAAAATGCGGGAAAGTTGCTCACCGAAATGCCAAAAAGTTACTAGAAATTGCCAAAAATCCATAAAGTTGCTACCTAAATTTCTTGATATTTTTAAATAAATGTAAATGAAAAGCTTAATTTTTTGTGGCTCACAATAATTGCTGACATCGGTCAAGAAAACTGATTGCTTCAAACTTAGCTTTGAAGAGTTGGTCGCAAGTATGGGTAAATTTGATTTTCGTAAGTCTATCAGAACAACATACATGGTTCATTTGACGTCTTGCTGAACGTCATTTTAGCTGATTATTCGTAACATTACTAGATAAGGATCACATTCGACCAGCGAAACGTCGAAAACCAGCTTATGTGTTTTAAAAAAGGTTGATAGAAATTTAAGAAATTCGCATAAATTGTAGTTTCTTTTATGAAATTATTAACTTTTTCGTGTTTGATAGGAGCTCTAAACCTATATGTTGCTCACAAATCACTCCGAATGGCTAAAGCTGCTCGAGCTTGCTAGAATTGCAAAAAGTTGCTCCAAACGACGAAGGTTGCTCGACTCGGGACAGACATACTCTTGGATACGTGACTCTTCATCAGGCTTCCCCCAGCATCATCCTGTTCGTACGGTGGCCCTTTAGTGCCACATTATTTCTACGGAAGAGGCCTAATTCTAAGAAGAAAGCGTTATTTTATGATGTATAGCAGTTATATTTACCCAGATCGAGTCTCGGCCAGTTGTACCAATTCTCCGCGGTCCGAAATATTTCATCGGTCCCAGGCCAACTCACAGCTTCGTCAAAATGGCGTCTGGAAAAGTAGATCGTGAAATGGAGCAGTTTATCCTGGCCGAGAAGGAGAAAGTCAGATTTCAGAGTCTTGTTCGCTCTTTAACTGATGAATGTTGGGAAAAGTGTGTGGAAAAGGTTGGATCGAAGCTCGATTCCAAGACCGAGACTTGCCTTGTTAACTGCGTGGAGAGATTTCTGGACACCTCAAATTTTGTAGCTAACCGCCTTAGCCAGATGGGCGAAAGTTAAATAACGATAAACTTTCTTAAAATTTTTGTTATGAGAATATTATACTGTCAAGGAGAGCTAACGCGCTTCGTTTTGGGAAGTCTATGTTGCGATATGAAATTACGTTTTGTACTGGCCTTTTGTTCAACGTGATGCAAAGTGTTAATGTTCACAATATTCAAGCTGGATTGGATGAAACTACTGTATGTCTAACAGTTACAATACCCACCATGAATCAGGGCACTTTGTTATAGGAGCAAAATAATGTAGAAAATAGGCCTTAGAATATATTTTCCGATGGATTTTGAAAAGATGTCCAAGTTCTCAACTGCCAGCTCGCACATGGTAATCAGAAAGAAGTATGGTCACGACAAGGGCTCATGGCTTCTTCGAACTCCTTTTGGCTTGGTCACCTGGGCTGGCCTCTTTTTGCCTGAGCGTAGCTCGCAGTCAGTGGAATTGAGTGAAAGGAGAGGCAAGGCGAGAGTTCTTCCTTTCTTTCCTGCTGGCCCTCCTCATTTTTCCTCCTATTGGACTCGGAGACGACAAGATTTCTGTGTTACTTCATACCTCATTATGCAAACATTACTTGGATGAAAGAAAACAGTTGCAAAATGACAGATTACTTATGGTACTAGGCATTTGTTTTAGAGTAGTATGGGTTTAAATGGAATTCTTTTCCCGGAAACTGAGTGTTTTGGTTATTGACATTTAATTTATTAATATTTCATTTTATAATTGACTGTATGATTGACATATCAATGGCATAATAATAGCAATTATTGCTAAGTAAGTTGATCTTCAGTGAAAAGGAATGCCATGTTCTCTTCTAAGTGTTCTAATATTAGTGTTTTTCTGCTGGTCCTACTCACCTGTACTGCTGACCTGTTACATCTAAAGAATAGTTTTGATTGGATAGCACCACAAAAGTAAATAATTTGGTTTGTGACCAGTTGAATTTTAAGAATTGTGATTTCACTTTTCCTGCATGCAATTTCAAGAATTGCTTGCTATTAGATTTCTAATGAATCATGTATTGTTTCTCATGAATCAAGTAAATTAAAGATTATATGATTCCCTGTCCAGTCAGTACTTCTGAGAACCATTTTTTCCTTGGACCAGTGAGTGCTTGAAATGTGCTAGGCCCCCTGGCTAGTTAATCTTTTCTCTAAACAATTTTGACCTGTTTATATGAGAAGCTGAATGAACCTGGTTATCAGTAAATAGATAGGTATTTTTCATTATGAACATTTAACTTGATCACCATGATGAAACTTGAAAGACAGTGCCCAGTTCATTGTAACATCAATGTTAAATTACCCAGAGAAGGATAAATAGTCTGATTTCTCAACCATTTAAAGGAGACGAAATTTGTCATCTATGAATAGTAGAAAAAACATGTTCTATTTGCATCTCACATTGATGCCTCATCAAGCAGATGAGGAAAAAAAAGAAGAGGTGACAAATGGGTGTGTCAAACTTTCTCTACAATTTGGAAATCAAGGCAGCATTTGAGGTAGGCTTTGGAGTCTTGTTTCAAAATTATTTTCTGTCAGTCCTGATGGTGTCACATTTCTGTCAACGTTCTCTTTGGGAATTGATCTTATAACCAAGGGTCTTACCCAATTAGTAACTGGAGTAGTTTGGATTTTTTTGTTGTGAGTGAAAAAAGATTGTGAATTATCACTGTCTTTTGAAAATAGTGTGACTTATCTGATAATCCACAGAAACAAATATGAAAGAGAGTATTGTAACACTATCACAGCATTTTTTTGTCATTACATGTGATATTATCTTGCATTGATTTGAGTGAGTGAGTCTCAGCCTTGTATTTCTACCAGGGGTTTTAGCATCTCACAAGTCTTGCATTTGACTATTTGCCACTGGAAAATAAGAGTATATAACTAACCATGGACACTGATTTGGCATTCTTTAAACAGTGATGTAACTCTTGGTCATTTTGAGCAGATTTAAAATTATAGACCAGTTAGCAGACCAATTATAGGCCTGGGTTACAACATGTGAAATATTAACCCTATTTACATCCTATGTGTCAGACAATCAAAACAGGTGAAACTTGCCACTATTTGCATATGGTGACAGAGAATTAAAGTGATGACTGTTGAATACTTCTTACATAACCAGTTATAGCTTTGTGTAGGATGACCTATTGGGAAGGAATTTTGCCTACAAGAAATTTAAAAGTTTCTCAATAACTGTCTGAAATTTGCCTTGCTCCCAGTGTGTGGTTTGGTAGTTCTTGGTTAATATATATAAGTGAAAGAATCAAAGAGGACGCATCAATTCTCTGTTACTCTGAGTTTTGCGCCTAAGCACTCGTCAGACAGAACCTGACGAGTAACAGAGAATCAATATGTCCTCTTTGATTCTTTCACTTATATATACTCAGCTCTGCTACCACAGCATTGAGCACTTTATGCCAAGGTGGACTCTACCCCCACATTTATATACATATATATATGTTGTCCTAAAGTGGACTTCATATTAAAATGATCTCAAATTAGTTTAAATTGTACCTTAATTAGTTTGTTTAAGAACTTTGATGATCTATCGAGAACAGAGAAAAAAAAATCAAAATTCTTTTAAATCATCTTGACCTGAAATTAATTTGACAATAAAACATATATGTTAACCCTTTCCCCCCCTAGGAGTGATCAGCATCCAACTTCTCCTCACAATATCACCTTGATTTAAACACCAGGGTCACAAGAATGAAGGAAATGATTGTCATTTGATATAAAAAATTATTATGGACAGGGTATTGATTGTGTCCCAGACTTCATCAACTCATGAAATCCCTGCACGATTACAGTTGACCTTTAGAAAAGAGAATCCCCACATAGTACCATGTATTTGTTATCTACCCTTGGATAACAATTAAATCTGAAATTCAAACATGGAGTGCAATCATTGGTATCTTATTTTGTTGTTTTATTAATCTCATCCATACCAACTCCCCTACTCACACCCAGTCACATGAGGAAACAAGAACATTTAAAACACTTTTAAAATATTAGTAAGAGGCCAATTTAATTTCCACTATGCAAATTACAAAAAAAAAGTTTGAGTATAAATTATAATTTATTTATATCCATGTTTACCCTTGTGTAAGACTGGGTATAATTTGGCCTCACCTTACTTTGTTGTTGTTGTTTTATTTGACTTTTTTATTTGGTTTTTCGATATCTTCCTCTTAGTAATTTTGTTTTGTGTTAGTTTTGTTTGTCCTGTCCCCTAACCCAATGAGCCTTCTACTAGATATGTGAGCGTAACGGGAAACTGGTAACAGGTTGAAGAGTTACGTCACGTAATTCATATATTTTAGCTGTCATGGCGGCCATAACTTGATCCAATTTATCTTCTTATTTATGTTTTGCCCTTAGTGAACTGGGCTTAAACTAGCCATTATGACAACACAAAATCAGTCCCAGAAGAAGGTGAGGCAATGTCAATCCAAGCGTTGTGGTGTGTGGCTTTAGAATAAGTTTATTCTCGTCACTTGCTTAAACAGATCAAAATTTTACAACTTCTTCGCGCGATTCAAGCCGAACAGCTTTCGAAATTGCAGCAAAAGTATCAACTGGAACAAGATCTCCTTGAAGATGTCAGGTGAGTCGAATTCTTGGCCGCTTTTATTTTCCTGTAATTTTCCAGAACAACGTATGTTATTGCCTGTAATAAATTACTTTTGTTTTGGCTAGAACCTACACAAAGCAGAGGTCCATGATCGAGAGAGATTATGCACAGGTAAAAAAGTTATTTGACAGTTCTTGTGTCTTCTTTTAGGAGAAAGAAAAATTTCAACAGACCAGGCGTTTGTGATTCTTGGGCTAATTATTAAAAAAAGTGCAACGAATTAGATAGCTTTAATTAAGCTCAAGCGAGACAGTTGTGATTATGGTTTGAGGTCGGCGCGAAGCAACGTACTATCTTTACACAGCCCTCTTCCTTAGCCTGTTTTCCTCGTCTTTCCGTGTCGTGTTTTTTTTTTTGCACAGAACAGTTCGCCATTATTCTGTTTGCAAAAAGAAAAGTTATAAGATAAAAAGTTAGAATTTAATTACGTAAATTATTTCTATTTACACTAAAAAGCATTTATAAGCGTACGGCATGCATGTTATTAAATCCTTTGAAAATCAAAATGAAGGCTTTAGACTGATTGCCTGAGAATTTCGTTCAAGAAATTTTTACTTGGAGACGTTCTTTTTTGCAAATTTGCATTGTAACCCTGGCTGCTTTAATTTATACCACTGGATTCCAAGTGCAGCTTCTTGATTCCCTGAAGTAATTTGTAAAATTTTGAGGCTATTTGCTCAAAATTAGTTTTTTTCTTGGCATGCATATAATGTTTGATTTAGAATTGTCTCCCACATCACAAATTTGTGAGTTCACGTGGTCAGATTAGCTATCTGCAGCAAATATGTAGTTGCTGTTCCTTCATGGTTATGTTTTGTGCATTTTAGAAATACTTGATATTGTTTGTTAATCTCAGTGAATCATGAAACGAAAATTGTACTAATCAAATTAATTTTTAGCATGTGATCTGCCTTATATGAAAGGTGAAAATGAAAACACATGATAGTGTGAGTGTTCATTTTCATTTGTTCAGGCAAATTGTTTTGTTAGTTCTCTGAGTAGCTTTATAATTAACATTTTTGAGTGTGAAATATTATGAAAAGTACACAATTCTTTTTATATGGTATTATATTATTGATAGCTAATTACCTTGGTAATTACTTCACATACTGCTCAAGTATTACAATATGCTTGATGTGGCATTAAATGGTAGATATTGCAAAAATATATATGGCATTTCATTTATGTTTGAGATAGGTAACAGTAATCTATGATGGCAGCAGGAATAGAGAAATTTTAAACTGAGGGTAGAAAGTAATCCACAGTTGCATTGGTTTTGCTTAACTTCACTCTACAACTGGTTCAGAAAACTTGGACCACTCTCCCAACCAATCAGATGAAAAACTTAAACCAATCATAACTTGGTTACACACTTTCAGTTTTCCTTTCCTCAGATTAGCTGTTTGGATTACTTTGGTTTTACAACAATTAATCCAAAGTGCTCTTTGGGTGTTTTGAATCTGGCTTCATGAGGCATCTAAAAGCAGTTCTGATTCCCTAGAATTTTTAAGAAATTAATTGAAAGGTGATATTTGCAAGAAATGCACTTCGTGACATAAAAGAATGTGCAATAGTTTACAGTGGTCAGGATTTTTCACCAGGGATCTGGTCAGAGTTTGAAAATTAAAGACATTCTCATTTTTATACATTCAGCTTGAAACTTATACACTTTTGATTTGCTGAAAATTTTATTTTTGGAGTTTTTGGAGTCACCAACAGATTACAATTATTCCAGGTCTCAGGTTTTCTGAGTGTTGATGACTCTAACTTTACTAGATCATAAGCATTGGAGTCAAAAGGGACAGTGGTCAATATTCTGTTATCAAATCAGTTGGATTGAGTTTCATGTAATTGTTTGTTTTTGTACCTCTAATTATGACACTGACCCCTGTGTGAATGGAAACTGCTTTTTTGGTCTGTTTCTCTCTCTGCGTTAACAGCCTTGGAGTTATAATGGAACCCTAGAAATTTAAGTGTTATAGGGGGTGGGGTTGGAGTGGAGCGGCATATCTGAGCCATGCAACCAAAATTCTGATGTCATTCTGGACTGATCTAGCTTGCAGAGGGTATCTGTTTCAACATACTACTGGTTGTATAATGTCCATTAGAGTAAACTATTTAAGGGTACTTTTCAAAACTGTATTAAAGTCTGTGCAAGTGAAACAGACATAAATGTAACCCAAGTAAGGTAAACCAATTCTCAGAGAAACAGGATTTTTTTGGGTAGATGAAGGTTTGCCATACTGTTATTTTGATTGCACTATGTCACTACAATATGCATTCAAAGATTTTTGTTCTTCTTTAAGGAGTTTACAAAATTTGCATTCTTTTCTCTCTTACCAATAGGCATTACAAAAACTCAATGCCCAATTTCTTCAGAAGAAAGAGCTGACTGCAGAAGATTTAACAGGAGAAAATGGAAACAAGTAAGCAGCTTTAGGTCACTTCTCTATACATTAAAGGTCAGCATTCAAGTCTTGGCCAGAGGCTGGGTAGCATCTTAGCTATGAAATTAGGCCTGCCTCTCAGCAGCAAATATACCACTATTTGGCTATGAATGGGCAATTGTTAGTACTTCTGGATAGTGTTATAGAATTTTACATTGATGGAAAATAACTATTAAGAATATGAAATCCTAAAGAGAGGGATTGTCAACTCAATAATTTTTTGCTTTTCTTTAATCAGACTTTCAAATAAGTTAAGAGTTATGCTAGAATTATTAAGAACAGACTATTATCAATGTTATGCAGTAAGTGATATAAACAATAAGACTTTAAAGTTGGTAATGTGGTCATAATTGTAGAACCCCCCATGGAGTCTGGAAATGTTTGCTTGATGAATCAGAGAAAAAGGCCAAACAACGGCTGGCCATGTCAGAAGAACTTCAGGGGCAGATGGGTGAAAGTATGAAGACTCTTAAGTCAAACAAAGTGCAAGTTTTTAAGAAGGTATTGATATTTCAATCTACACACATATTAGCAGAAGCAATTTCTTAAACTTAAGAAACAGGACTGGTATAGTTGACAAATTGAAAAAGATGTGCTTTTAGGCGCAATGAGGACAGCATGTTTCAACCTTATCTGTTCGAAACATTAAGCGGTGCACTTAAGCTTTGTGTGATGTTGAAACTAAATACATACTGGTTTGTTTGAGTACTGGTGGGAATTCTTTATACTGGAAGAATTCAGTTGGAAGAATAACATTGCATTTATTTAACCTTGGTCATTGGTAGATTTTATAGAAGAATAAGGCTGTTAGAACAAAGCTCATCAATGATTTAGGAACAGATACTGATTGTCGGTCACTTGCACTCTACCTTCTAATAATAGCAATACTCCAACAAAAACAGGCAAGGTTTAAATCTCTTTGTGGAAGTGATTTTCTGTAGTTGACTAATTGGGACTCTAGCTTACTTGACTCAACCTCTAATTGGGGCTTCTTGGCCACTTTTTTTTCATTGTTAAATGAAATGGCTTAAGTTACTAGAATAGATCTGCACTGAAAAGAGTTAAGAGCAAGGCAAATAAGAAAATTTATATTGAAGAAATGTAAAATGGTTTCCATGTTTACATAGCCTGATGTAAACACGTGGGAGGTTGGGAGAACACGAGATAAGCGTAGGAAACCACGACGCAAAGCAGAGGAAACCATGACGCAAAGCGGGGGAAACCATGATGCAAAGCGGAGTGGTTTCCAGCTTATCGAGTGTTCTCCCAACCTCCCAAGTGTTTACATCAGGCTATGTAAACATGGAAACTATTGTACATTTTTTTTTTTAAATAACTAATGAAAGAGAAACGAAAACCGTGTTTACATACGCTCATGTAAAATGGTTTTATGGCCAATCAGAGTATGCTTACTATTTGAATTATTTTATAACATCTATTAAAACAATACTGTATAATAGTAAAATGTAAGAAAATTTATTTGAATTCATTTTCTTTAGTGTCAAGAACTTACTCAAAAAATTCATGAGGAGCTTTTTGAGACTGTGCGTGAATTATCCAAAGTATGTATTACAAAATGATTATAATCATTGTAAATGATGATGTGATAATTTTTTTTTGATTTTTGATTTTCAAGGAGTATTTGAATTATGTTCAACAGAATAGTATAACCATTGATTCATCTTAGGCTAAAAAGGGTTATGAGGAAATGGAAAAGTTGGCCCAGGTAGCACGGGAACAAGCAGCAGATGCGGAAGACAAGTAAGTCATTTAAGTCCTCAGTGCCTGGAGATACTTTAGAGAAATGAATTAGCACTAACTTGTTGGAAGTAGGACCAAGCAGAATCCACCTCGGTCTGTAATCATACAAGTGTTTAAAAAATTGGATGACTGTGAAGTGGGAGTGCAGTCTCTCAATAGTGAATAGGATTACAAACTGAAATGGATGACACTCAATCCTGTTACCAATTGCCTGTAAAACTTAAAATACAAAATTAAATGTAGTTGTTGAAAGAATAGCTTGTAATTACAATTGTTTAACCCTTAACCTCAATAATCTTTGAAAAAATCACAGTGAAAAGCAGTGAAATGTTTGAACACTCTGAGTTATTGCTATGGTTACTGTCAGTCATAAACTCCGTGTTTGGTGGATTTATTTGAATAAACTCAATGTGATCAGCAGATGTAACGGTTGGATTATAAGTGCCCGATTACAACTCTACAGAATACTTTGTGAAAAAAGAAGCTCACTAAATTATATTTGAGGGAATTGTAACACTGTAACTGTAATAGTCCACTGAGATAGTTAAAAATAATATTACAAGTTGTGAAATACTGCTTGTCAAATGAGAATGATAAATTCAGAATGAAGTCAATTTCTTTGCTTAGTTCAAGGAAAATGTTTAATTAATGTTCATAACTGCAAATTACACTACTATATTTTCCTTTTTGTTAATATATATTGTGTTGTTGACAAATTGATTTGTTACTGTTGACAGGCTTAAAAAGAAAAATGTGAAGTTTTTTCAGTCCAAGCAATCATTGGAGAAAAATTTAAGCAAGGTATAGTGAAAAGAAGATAATTTCATCTTATCACACTTAAAATTTTTTTTTGTAACTTGTGTTACTGACAATTGCTATCAATAATGAACACTTATCTAAAATTAGAAATTCAGAAACTTAATATCAATTAATGGACAATGTTTTACATCATTCTGTGCAACAAACATGACTCTCACTCTTGTTTCACAGAGCTCCAGTCGACGTGAGATATGCGAAAGAAGGACAGCAATGGCTAGAAACGACTACATCCTATCACTTGCTACAGCTAATGCACACATGACAAGATACTTCTGCAAGGATTTACAAGAAATAATGTCTGTAAGTTGATTTCTGTGCTATAGCATCACAGATAATTGCATGCATATTTTGATATTACAAAAGGAATGACCCAAAGATTCAGGGTTATGTTTAGAGGTTCTCAATAATAGAGACTTACCAAACTATTTTTTTTTTGACCCTGACATTTCTTCAAGGAGTAGCATGTTCCATTACATCATTTCATTGATTTTGCAACTGTTTTTATACAGACTCTAGAAGGGGATTTGTTTGACCAAATGAGGGGATTCCTCACTACTCTTGGCCAAGTTGAAGTAGATGCAAGTAGGGCTGCAATAACAGGTTTTGAAACTGTGGTCTCTAATGCCAAAACAGTAAGTGGTATAGGTTTTATATGATACATTACATTGCATACTCTTAGGCACCAATAAACCACTTTGATGGTTTTTTCTAACCTGTATCATGTACATCATCATGCATTAAAATACTAGGAAATTGTTTCATCAGTGTGAATATGGTAGTTGGGTATCACTTGGTATGTGATTGTTGCTTTTATCACCCTTGAGCTTGCTATGTAGTTCTGTTACATCAAATTTCTCAGTAAGACTAAACAGTGTTGCAACATTCTCTAAATAACCGTCATGCTGCAATAGATATAACCACAGTTGATGTATTTATTTAGTTGGTGGTATGTTTTTGATTAAAATTTTTCATGCAGCATTTTATTAATTTTTTCTGCTAGGTTGTAATTTGGCCATATAGTACCATTAGTTGAATAGAAAAGTTTCTCCATAATGTGTTTAGTTATCAGAGTGATAACTGTGTTCTCTGAGTTCATTCTTTTCATTTCTCATTTCAAAAGCATAAATAAATAACCACTTTGAAAGTTAGTGCTTTTCATTCAGTGTGTGACTGTATCACTGAAAAAGAAAAAAATGAAAGTTTCATATTCAGTGGCTTTGATAATGGCATTTCTCCCGGCTGAGAACAAAACTTGACAACTGGAAGAAATGCCATAGGCCAATTTTAGGCATGTACGTGAGAGATTTCTTCTGTTGGTAAGGACCAATTCAATAACTGAGAATTTTGTGTATTGAAAACTATGCCCACTGTTTGTTTTTGTAGTGTTCGAATGCATGTTTTCATCTTGAGCCTTAACGCCAACACACTTTGCTATTCTTATTCAGGGATTGTCAATCCTTTTATTTTCATTCGTTAATAAAGTTGACTTTTCTTGTCAGTAAAGGGCTATTGTGGTTATATGATAAACAAAATAATACATGTTTGCTTGTAGATATGAAATTTCTCTTTTCATGTTCAACTCAATATCTTACTCGTTCACTGTGCTCACTCTTGAGCTATTGAGTTAAACACTTGAAGAGAAATTCCATATCCACATATGCTCATGTACTATTCTCTAGGTATTATACTTTCTTGATACCATAAGCTAATGGACTGGTATTTTATAATTTTTTTTATACCTATTTTTTCTAAACAATAATTTAATGTCTATTTTGTGTTTAATTTTCAGATAAACAGAGATATATCTCTTCAATCATTTTTAACAAAAAATAAAGTATTTTCAGAAGTTGTTCAATATGAATTTGAATCCTGCAAAAATGATAAGGTAACTTTTTGTTTAGTCAAATGAACAGTCTTTTTTTGTTAGGAATTGAGGATGGCATTGACATAATTAATATAATTGTGATTGACACAAACAGTTCAAAAATAGAAAACTGCTTTACCATCTGGCTTAATTACTTGTCTCAAAAATGTTTGAGCTCCTTAGCCTCAAATGTATTTTAAGATGCATTCAACATCCCACCATCTGATCATTTTCCAACTAGAGTAATGAGTTAACCCTTTCACTCCTAAGATCTCACTAGTAATTCTCTCTACTGTCTCCCATATGATTCTTATTAAGTCAGTTTGAAGAATTTTGTATTGGATTGACCAATAATTCCCTGATTGATATTTTGCTTTATTTTTTTCACTTTTAATTACTGCTTGGTATTGTATGATAGGGTATTTTAAGGAGAAATTGTGTCTTGGTCTCTTACGGTAGTTAAAAGTCTAGAAGAAATTTGAATTTTACAAGATTTTAGGCTTTCTTCTCCTTTGTAACTAGAAAATAATAATTTTGCTGGCTAGTCCCCTTACTTCTTTTATTTCCTGCACTGTGCTATAGTCTTTGTTACTTCCTTGCTCAAAACATATGTCTTGGGTTTTATATGACCTGGATAATTCTTTTTTTACCTCTTTTCAGGTAAGACAGCTAACACTTGAAAAAAATGCTGGCCTTGCACTCAACAAAGAAGCAAGAAAGTTGGCTATGAGACTAGCGAAGGATCAGATGGCCTTGAAGACAAAGGTCAAGCAACTCCAAGCTGTTAAAAATGTAAGCATGTGATAACCTGACTGGGTATTTAATGCAGTTCTTTCAAACAGTTAAACAGTTAAAAATGCATTTTCCTTCTGTTACTGATTGATTAAGATAACTGGTTCAAAACAATGAAAAGTAGAAAAAAAACTGGAAAGAATCACAACATAAAAAATTATCTGTTTCCCAACATATTTTATGAAAAAATAATTATTAAAAATTGCACGAGAAAGGTTAAATACCATCAGATACTTTATGAACTAGTTGGCAATGATATATGGTTTGGATGTAGTCGATTGAAAAATGAACAGATTGCATTTGGTAGGTAATGCTTATACCATATATTAATATCACTGAAAACCATTGAATAACTTCAGTCATTTTATTATATATGTCTTGAGAAAAAGCTTTGTTTCTTACTCCATTTAATGACCCCATGGAGAAATTAAGGAAAGAAGTTACAAAAATGATGGTTGTGATACCTGATTTATTAAACAGGCTGGCTGTCATTTTAATTCATTTTGAAATAGGGTGAAGATGCAACCTTGCCATCTGTGGGAGAAGGAAATCAAGAGGTTGAACAGAGTCCAGAGATGCTGAAGGAGAGTATTAGACTAATTGAGGTGGGTCTTATACTCTCACTATACCTGTAGTAATAATACATACTTCTTACTAACTGAGTTTGAGATCCACACTGTAAGTTATTAAGTACCAAGCTTTTTTCTGCTTGGATTTGTGGTCCAAGAATGAGGTGTGCAGGCCATAGATCTGGGTGGAAAAATGAGGTTCCATAACTTGCAGTAAGGACCAGGGTTATGTGGGTAATATTTTTTGGGTTTCAAAGGGGGAAGTTTCAATTGAAACAAACTTTTGTATTTAACTGGGGGTACAGTGGAACACAGTTATTGTTCTGCTAGATTTACCTTGGGCATGGGGCAACTCATGCATGAGGGAGACATTGAGAATTGTTTTGTGAATTGTTACTTTCAAAGTTGAACTGATAACAGTTGAAATGATCTATGAAACAGAGACAACATATGTGGAAAGTGTGTAGCATCAGTGACATCTTGTTTTACATCAACTAAGGAAGCAGTTTCTATTTACTTTTACTTCTTTTTAGACAAGCAAGTTAAAAACAGAGGCATGTTTGGAAGTCTTGCGGGAGGCTGGAGGTACTATTTTTAACAAATTGAATTGATTTCAACAAGATAGTGACTGCCATTAAAAATAGTTAGTTGTTACTACCCATTTTGTAAGCAATCAGTTCAGCATACTTCACAAAATACTATGTAGGCAATGCCTTGTGATATTTAGTCAAGACAGCCTAGAAGAACTTTGGTTTTGGTGGATGAATTTTTTTCAAATGAGCTGAGTAGCAATTGAAGTACTGTTCAATATACGGGCATTGATAAATTTACTGATCTTTTTTTTTTCTGTCAACAGTTAATGTGGATGAGTGGATGAAGAGTGCTAATTCATTGTCTCCAAATGACATGGATACTGGTGAGTTTGTCTTCAATTAGTTCTTTGAAATTATTTAAGGCATGCCATCTGCAAGTTTTTCTTAAATCACAGATCAATTTCAAGTTTTCTTTCATTTCAAACTTGACAATATCTGAAGTAATGAAGGATCTAGAAGTAATTTTCTTGCTCTTGTTTTTGGTTCGATGTACTTAATGTATGTGAAAAATCTTCCATAGTAACTGAGGGAGTGTTAACAGCCATTGTTCTTTAACTTTTTGTTCCTTTAGAATATGATGATGATTTGGTTTTTCATGTTTATGTCCTTTATTTCAGATTTTCTTGGAAGTGACAACTCTTTGAACTCATTCAATGATGATTTTGGTGACACATTTGATGATGAATGGGAAGATCTTGACGACAATTTCACAGCAGATGACTCATCAGATGAAGATGCACAAAGTGTCTCATCCAACTGCTCTATCCCACTTTCTTGCATTGCCTTGTACAACTATGAGGTATGCAACTCACACTTTTCTTTACTTTTTTACGTAACACCCTTTTTCTTGCAGGATTCACAAACTAATCCTCTTGATTGATGATCATGTATTTCTCTGTAGGGTTTTTTTTGTTAATTTTAATGTTTTTGTCATATCCCTTAATGTAAAATTACAATTACTCAGGATACTGTTTGAAAATATTTATAAAATAACTGAGATGTTATGTTTGCATTGATTGGTGAAAACCCACAGTTGTTTACAAAATTTCTCTACATCACTCACTTGCCTCTTGCTTCTAACCATGACATCAGAACTGGCTGAGATGTTAGCTCACACTGGGACTCACATTTTCCTTTTTCACATTTCCCCCGACAAGTGTTCAAATTCCTTTTTCTTTCCTGTCAAGTTATCAATAAAGATTTGACTTTATGAAGGGTGTATTTATTGATCTTTTGTTAATGTTGTTGTAGGCAACAGATTCTGATGAACTGTCCATTACAGAGGGAGAGGAACTAGAAATCTTAGAAAAAGATGGTGATGGGTGGTGCAAGGTGACAAATTACTGTTAAGTCAATAACATGGCATCTGACAATGATCAGGAAGCACACTGGCTTAACAGTTATGCAGAGTTGAGAGGTTTAGGTTGAAGACCTGGCCAGGGTTTTGTGCTGTGTTCATAAGCAAGAAACTTCATTCTTGTATTGCCTTTCTCTGCCCAGAGATATATATCTGTCCATGCAAACTGTCATTATATTTTGAAAGGGTGGGTGGGGGGAAGGGTTAACCTTCAATGGACAAGCATCTCATTTAGGGAGGGTACCTATACTCTCAGTCACTTCTTGCCATGGAGAGCAAGATCACCTCTGGTTCTTCATTGGCCACTTGGCTCCACTGTACACTACTTGTTGATTGGATGTTAATCAAACTGAGGAAAACATTTTAATTTCTCTTTATGAAATTCTCATGACAGGGTAGAAACAAAACAGGCAAAGTAGGATATTTCCCTGAGTCATATGTTGAAGTTGGATCAACAGCCAATAATTCTGCCAATCAGATCACAGCTGGTAGCTCTCACACAGATGGCCATCATCAACTGGATGGGTCACCATCTAGTGTTTCAAGCCTAGCAAAAGCACTGTCTGCCTCAACAGCAACAAAATATGGTAAGTTTCTTTTTCTTGATGCATCGTCTTCATTGAAAATCTCAAACATTTACTAGCCTGGTAAACATTCCTCTTGACTCTTGCAATTTTTTTAAGCTTCTGCCTCATAGTAGGGGATTTTATCTATGCCTTCCTATGCCATCTTAACATCTATGGTGATGCCCTTAAAAATATAAGGCCCTTGAAGTGGAAGCTGAATGAGCTGCTATTAAGTCAATGTGTTAATTTAATAATTATTTCAGTCTATTCATGCTGTTCTGTTTTTTCCTATTAACCAAGCTGGTGGGTGATGGAGACTGCCCTAGGTTTCTCCCCAGTCATGTAGTCTGATAATGGTCATGTATTTGTACAACAGAGTGCATTTCATGGCTTTTCTTAAATGGTATTTGGCTTCATCAACAGATTAAATTCATTTAGGCAAAATGTTGTTTTATTTGTTCTGAGCTGGCAGTTTCCATCTTTCTCATTACTCTGGAAAAAATTATGCATTTCTAATAAATAAAATCAGTTTTCTAGGTTTGTGATTACTATTATCTCTATGTAACTGAGTATATATTCGAACTTTTTTCTTGAAAGCTTGTTACGTCAGAGCATTATATGATTATGAGGCAATGAGTGACGAGGAGCTATCATTCAAAGAAGGTGATATCATTGGAGTGTTACAGAAAGATGACAACAATGTTGATGATGGATTCTGGTATGGTGAGTTCCAGGGAAGGAGGGGTGTTTTTCCATCCCTTGTGGTGGAAGACTTACCAGATGGATTCCAAACAACAGACACAAACATGAATGTAACAGACTCCTTGCCAACAACTTCATCCAGTAACACTAGAGCTGGAGATTATGTAACATTGCCATTAGAGTACAAGGCTAGTACTGCACCATCTGTGCTAAGTGCATTACAACCTGTGAGAAAAGCCCCACCACCCCCTACTGCTTCTCCGCAAATCCCAAGGAGCACAACTATGGCCACTGGAGGTGGGAGAGCTTTACTACCACCTACTGATCGCCAAAGAGCAAGAACTGAGAATTCTACTTCTATGAATAAACCAGATACTTCAGCTTTTTCAAGGAGTTTGTCACAGAATCCATCACTTCAGTCAAAACTGTATGAAAATATAAATCAGTTGGCACCTTCCTCATCAAAGCCTCCTGATTATGTCAATGTCACAGATCTTCCATCAGCAAGAAGGAATGGTCCATCCTCATCAGGAAATAGTTCTCTAAGTGCCCCTAAGCCTATGGCCAGATCTCGTCGACCAGCCCCACCCCCAAAGCCTCCTCCACCAACTGCTGCCAGCAGATCTGTACACAGATCACAATCTTATGTTTAAAATTTTTCATCTTGAGAGAGAGAAAACTGGCCTCTTCGAGGTTTCCAAAGGAGAAGGCAACTGTTGATCTTAAGATGGTTTTCTGCAGTTATTAAGGACCCCGCTCCAAAAGATTAGTAATTTTTATATTCTTTTATAATGAAATAGCATCTATTAGACCTCTGTCCATAGACAACATCTCAAGAGTTTAAAATAAACCCAACCTGAAACAAAGCATCTAAGATAATTTTGGAATAACAGATGGTTGCTGTCTGGAAAACTCTTTGTTTCGATTGGCTGTTGGCTTTACATCACATATGAAAAACTTTGCATCTGTTCTTTGGAAGAGAGTTCAATTTTTTAGCTGAATTCATCAAAGCAAGATTTGTGAGAATTTATAAGTAGTAGTGTGTTGATTTGCATAACTCAGCCCCCATTCCCAAAAAAAAACATTCTCTGTAATGGAAGGATGTAGTTGATGAAATTTGAACTCATTAATATTATTAATTCAAACAACATGTTTAAAAAAATTGTCAAGTCAAATAATATTTATTGCATAGAACCTTGATTATTCAAATTTAAATTACTTCATCAAACTGGACAGTTGATAATCAAATAACCAGCTCAAAGTTAATTTTCTTTCAAGTTATATTTTTTGTGGGAAATGTTATTGAAATTGTATCCATTCCAGACATGATTCTCCATGCAGCAGTGCAAAGGAGGAGCACCTGCTACATCAATGAGCAATTCTTAGCACATAATTTTTTTGAACAAAAATTAAGGACTGCACTGTGTGTTTCCTTCTCTATTTGTAACTCTCAGAAAGCATCTATTGAAGGGGCCTGTATAAGGTGCAAAAGGTATAATGAAGACAGTCTTGGTTCACATAACAGGGTTATGTATAGCTCTCACTCGATATTTCCTGTTAATCATCTCTGCATGTAGGGACTTGAAAGATTACAAGTGAATTTTTGCTGGTCCTGTTAATTCAAATTCAAATGTTAAACTTGCGTTTATATCTCACTTTTGGCATATTTATTTTCTCATGCTATTAGTTGAATGGTACCAATCAGAACCAGCCTTTCAGGGCAACATTTATTTCCAATGCAATGTGGAAAAGAATTATATATTTTCATTTAAACCAAAATGACATGGATTAGTGAAATAACAGTTGCAATAATTTTAATGATATACTTGTTTTGTTTTGTTTTTTTCCCTTTCTTTCTTTTTTCTGGGTAACAATATGTGTAGTAACCGTCATGTGAATCTCCAAAAAAATTTTCTTTATGATAGGAGGCAGTTCTTGATATATTTAAGCACATTTCTACACAAAGTTCAATAGAACCATAGTACACTTAAAATTACTAATTGTAAACTTATATATCATGGATTATTTTCTCACTATTAGCCAATAGTTTTTCACTTATCCAACATAATTTATACTGGATTTGATTTGTGGGCAAAGGTTACAGAATTTATCAGAATGCTATGGAATATTGTTAGTAAACTTGGGAAAGTATATGAAGTGTATCCTGTGCTAAAAGTTAGTCTTGAAAATCAGCTGGTCTGATTTTATTGCCAGGGTTGCAAGAGATTAGCTATGATGGTGCATGGATATACTGAGAGAACTTTTGACATCAAAATAGTAGTAGGTAGAATATATTAAAGTTCACACAGCAACCAGGTGGACAATCAGACATAGTAGGTAGTTGTTTTTTTTTTTTATGTAAGAGGCAAGGTGGTAATAGAATGGAAGAGGATTACTACTGAGATAAAATAAGTGTTTAAATCATAGCTGCAAACAATGTGATTTTTCATGAAATTCCAGAATCTTAGGTAAATCTTGACATACCACTTGAAAATAGTGAAGTATCATGAACATTTGTCCCATGACAAGCTCCATTACAATGTGGACCATGAAATTTTGACAGAAGACTACTATTTTTCTTTCAGTTTTAAGGTCAACTGATTGTACATCATCCATTGGTATACTAGTTGACCTCTAAATGGAAAGAAGACAAGTAGAATGAAGTTTAACATCATGATCCTCTTTTTACAGTGTAATGGCCTAAATCTTGAGGCAAACCATGGTACTGTAATATTTTTACACTTCATACTTATTGATAACCTCTAATATTTTCTATGATGTTTTGGTAGTTCATATTTCAATAGGAACTCCTCAGATATCAGTAACTGTTTCCCCTAAACTGATTATGGCACATGCAATCTTTCGCATTATTATTCTTTTTAATCTAGCAGATTGCAAGTGACAGGCAATGTTATATTTCAGTGATAAATTCTTAGCCTTGTTTACAAATAATACAATCACCCATTTTACTCACACACAAGTCTTTTTCTCACAACCTCTTAAAAATCTGTCATTTGAAGTAGTATCTCTACAATATTATTGTGTAATGAACAAACAGGTCCTTGCTTTACTTGCTAAGCAAATGCTCTATAATTAGCGGTATGTCAAATTCACTGTCTCTGTCCAAGGAAGTGATAAATGTAAGTTGTAAATTGTGTAAAGCTATCTGGTTATCAAAAACAGTAAACTTGCAATTTGAAAAGTGATAAAGTTATTGCTTTGTGTAACTTTACTTTTTAACTATTACTAACAGTCAAAATTGCACCACACAAGCTTTAGCTCAGAGAGCATAAGCCTCATCACAAGCAGATGCTATTTCACCAATATATCTAGCAAAAAATTGCTAAGAAAGCAGTAGACAGACAGACTGGATTTAACATTTCCCCCAACTTCTACTGAAATCAGTAGTCACGTCAGAAGACATAACCTGACAGTCTAAAGTGAGGTTTGTCATTCACAATCACTCCTAAAGGCATTGGAGTGTGATTGTTCGGGTGCACAGGTCATTAAAACAACAGTCACTGGTGATTGTGACAGCCATTTTAAAGTAGAAATTTACAATACTTCTTCTCTAGAATCTGATGACAACTTTCACTCTGGCTCAATGTTGAACATTTCAGTCATTCGGAGACAAAGGACTATTCCCTCCTTGATGTTCACACTGGAAAACATCTTGATAGTCCAAAGGTTAAACCATTTACTGAGTCACTTAAGTGTGGTTGCTGATTCCAGGCTCACATTGTGAAACTATCTCACTTTGAAAAAAAAAGTCTTTTTGTCATCCAATATGAGGAGTCCTTGTAACTGTTTGC